TGTTGCATGCATTTGATGGCAGTTTGCTTGATCAGGTGTGCCGCGCTGGCACTTTAAAATAGTTCAGTGCTGTTCTGTTCAACTTCGCCTTTCTGATGATGCTCGGGCACCTTCCAAAACGAATGGCTGGCAAACAACGAATCTCTTCATAAACCCTTCCCAAGCAGAATCAAAGGCGGCCGCGAGTCTGTGAGGCCAGTTGCACCCACACGACGTCAAGAAGAGATTAGAGGCATTGTCTAGCCTCGTGACATCTACGCACTCCAGTATGCTGAAATGCGTTGACAGTTGAATGGCGACTATGGAATCTGAGCAGTGACCGGCATTCCGTCGGCACTGGGCTCAGAGCTAAAAATGTTTGAGTGCGCCTGCGTGCATCAGCCATGCTGGCTCGCTGGCTGCCGCGGAGTCTCCGCTTTTGACAGTGTGCTTGATCGACCTCTGACTGAGGTGCTCTCGGACAGTGTTCCATGCGTTCTGGTCTTGGACCAGTGATCCGATGCGGAGAAGCTGGAACTCATCGACCCCTGACTGTTATGACCTGGAATCTCAGAGTGTTTTTTGGTCAAGCGGTTCAAAACGCTCCTCCCAACCTAGAAATCCCTCTCGATCACCCTCTTCACTTCCGCATTGTCAGAGTGGGGCAGCTCAGTGGGCCAGTTGAAGAATGTCCTTCGAATGACCATGCGGACAGGGTGTGTGTGTGGCATCCAATTTCCTACCTCAGCTCCAAATTCTTGACAGTTTAGTTCAGCATACCATCTGCGAGCCAGTTGCTAACCATCGTACGCCCAGCCTTGTCGCCCAAAGGTGACGAAAACATGACACCAACACCAAGTTAATGCTCATGAGAAAATGGCAAGTCTGCAGTCAAGAATCACTTGTACAGAGTGCCCGCACTTGGACCCGAATTCTTCTTGCTCTTCTTTTTCTTCTGCCCCTGCAGGTTAGGACACAACATACGTACGGTAGCCGAACAAGAAAAAACGGAAGATCATGAAGGCAGTGCCAGCCATACCTTGTTGGGATTCTTACCCTGAAGGATCCTACTATTTGGGGATCTATATTGGGCGTTGCCCTACTTTCGTAAACCCCCATCAGCTGCCTTTTTTCCTTTTCCAGTTGACGGAGGTGGGACGGCCGCCAGGTCCCTCACATTGTCATGGCACATGATGACCTCAGTCGCCCCAACAGCGTGCAAATCATGGTCGAAATCAGCACAGCCCTGATTTGTCCTGATCATGGCTTCGACCTGCACGGTGGCAAACTCTGCATGGGAGGGGCTGAGAAGTCGGTTTGTGCACCGCTCTTCAATTCCGCATTCACGATCTTGCAGCCGCGGCTTTTGGCAAAGACGGTCCTTACAGAAAGCAGGGTGCATGCAGCTGATACGTGGGCAGCTAGCCGATCAGATCGCGTCGAAATGCATCCAAGCATCAGGCAACGCAGAAACATTGGATCGTGGATGTCACATTCTTTGCGCTCCTGGAAGTGGAGCTTCACCTGAGACACCAAATTTTGCAGAGATTGAAGACAGAGGCGTGCCCAAGCTTGCATTGAATACAATTGAGACTGTCTTGTTCAGAAGATTTGAGGCACCGAATCGCGAAATCCACCGAGGCCGGAGGCTTGACGCGTTTAGGTCTTAGTCTAGGGAACCTTGCACAGGTCGAATGCTCTCACATTTTGTACGGTTTCGTATATTCTTTTGTGTACCCTTTTCGCACTCCCCAGGCCGCGGCAAAACGACTTGGTGGGTACCCCCCCCCCCCCCCCCCCCCCCCCCCCCCCCGTAGGCCGATCGGCAGCGGGCGGTGCGTTGAGACTGGCGGGTGGACTCCAAATCCGGCGTTTTGCCCGCCCTCCACGCGGCCTGCCCTCCCCCCCCAGCTCACCTGTTGTCGGGTTACAGCCAGGCCGCGCGAAACATGTCGATCATCGCCGCTTTTTGTAACATAGCAGTTCGCCAAGCATGTAGTGTAGGAATGGCCCCCTTGCCGAGGCGGCTTCGCGCTAGCAGTCAAATAACTTAACGAAATTTCATTGAACAACTCATCAATCACACAGCTGGAACTAGTAATGACCTATCATTGCACAACCAGCTTGCAGAGTCTTTAGAGATTTGATTTGGATAGTTTGCTCATCTTCTTTTTGCATGTTGTTGGTGACTGCGCGTCTTGTTCCGGAGACGTCAAACATCCTTTGCATTATGTTGTGCAAGAACGCTGCAAATACCGGTGTTGTTAGGCATGGTCGTCCTAGGACACTACTTTGCTTACATGATTTGGGGCCTCAAGATCACTAAGGGTCAGTTGAAATAGGTTCATCACGTACAATCGCAAAGCCTAGTTGGATTCCTTTGATTATCTTAACGACCAAAAGCCAAGTCAGAAAATAACACAACTCAATAAATTACACAAATTTAGCAAAAACACGGTGAACAAATGAAGTCTTCGCAGTGGCGTGAACTCGACAAGACAGAATATGTTTGTATTAACAGCCACAGGGGTCCTGGGAGGTCCGACATGCAGAACATACCGAGCAGGCCTTGGGCTGGCATGCGGGCTGCAGGGTCTTTCCCAGCAGTTCCTTGGCTTGCAGCTTGGACTTCTTAAGCAACCACGTCTTAGAACCATTTTGAGTTCTTGAACCCGGACTGAGAAGCACAAGTCCTGAAGGGGCCTGGGACTGTTGTCAGTACCTCTGTGCCTGAGCTGACTCTGACACCAGGCATCTTTCCACGTCGGCATCTGCTGCACGACTTTTCAAACCGAATCAAGCTGCGGCTTGATTTCCAACAGGTCTACAGGATAAGCCGAAAAGTCATCAGCAGCATGCAGAAGTCTTGGAATTGGCACCAATCTCACGGGTTTGGGCATAATACTGAGTATTGAGCAACAGTTGCGACAATCCACTCAGGTGCATTACAACCCTGCTCGGTAGGAAAGGCAACGAACTATTCTGAAGCTTTTGTGTAAACATTTCTGCCGTGCACTGGGGAAAGCTTCGCATGGTGACAAGCATGCAGCCCATGGTGGACCAGGCCTCAAAGCAAGCCTGCACTTCTTCTGCCTGGTCTGGCGCCCGCAACCGCACAAGGGCAAGGGCCTGGACATGATCGAGCAGGTGTCATTTTGCTAACAAACGGAACAAACAGCTAACGTACCTGCATGAACCACATCAGCAAGCCGACCGGTATGCTGGGGTAAATGCCAATTTTCGTCGATAAGGTGTTGCATACTCGGGACCTGCACAGGTCAAGCTTCGAAGTGGAATTCGTTGGGCTTCGCCCAGATGACTCCAGCATTTTGACGGGAGCTTTGATTCAAGTCTCTGAACCAGCCGCGCAACTTACTTCAAGGCTGAGGTACCTGTGCGTGCGATGCAGATCTGCATGGCCTGGCACAGAGTAAAGCCCAGCGTGATGTCTCCGTGTGTCGCATACGTTCATTGTGGCTGAGATGTGTGAACTAACCTGTTCAGCACAGATTCCTACCACGGCCTCCCAGACCTGGACGTGTCGACCAAGGCTTTCCAGCGAGATGCCGCAAGCTTCGGCCACATCTCAGCTTTCTGATGTGCTTAAGAGGACCGCTTCAAAAAGCACAAGCTCAAACTTCATGCGCGCCATGTTTCGTGGGTCGGCTTCCGCCTCCCTGAATTAGTCGGACAGTGGACGGCCGACTAATAGGAAACAAACAAAAATCACAGCGGCTCGGTGCTGCTACGGATGGTGGACAGGCTTTGCTCATGATGTGTGCTCTTAGCTGGATGTGACCTCCCCGGCGTCTGGTGTGAAGGCTCAGGCCAGGGCAGGCAAGTTCTCAATTTTAACAGGCAAGGGCAGCAAAACAAACACCGTCAAGCAACCTCCAAGCTACGCCCGCGACGTATTTGGTGCTAGCTTTAGGATTGAGGGTTGTGTCGTTTGGGTGTTTAACGAGTTGCGCGTGTTGGGCAGGCTATGAGTAACTGGTCACTTACGACTACCGGAAATCACTCTACTCTCCTGGCTGCTGCTTGGAGGGTTAGAAGGTTTTAAGGTTGTGGGGTTTAAGAGCTTTAAGGTTTGGGTTTCAGTGAGCAGGAGGCCAAAAACCACGGCAAAACACCATCCTGCAGGAACTACCAAGCACATGCTTGGGCACAGACGAATGTCCAGCGCGTTCGGAGACGGTGGATCTGCTACCATTGCCTGATTGTCTACGGACAGCAAGACTTGGAAAGGATGTGCGGCAACCCGTGTTGGTTTTTTTAACAGCACCTTCCGTCACCTTCCTTACCCATGACCTTCGCTGTCTCAGATATCCCCCCCAAAACTCGCCCTGTTGCTTTTTTCAATTTTCAAGGGAGCTTTGCAGGTCCTCTAACCTCGAGATGACACTCACACGTCAACTTCGATAGGGGACACACTGCTGAGCCATGCCAGCGCGTCAATGTGCCCCACCAGAGCAAGGAGCACCATTTTCAAGTAAGCTCGTATTAGTACGTAACATGCAAGGCATGTTCAGTTTCCTCCGGCTTTGTCAGATCTGGGCGCTGTGCAAGACAAGCATTCATGGGAGAGAGGCCGGCTTCGCGCATGGCGTTGCTCACCTGAGTATTGCAAGCGCATCAGAGTGCATCCTTTCGCCTATCGAACTCCGAGAAACCAATACCACGAGGCTGGAACGCACATGCCATCACAGGCAGTGGTGAACTCAGCTACGGCATCTCCACCGGCCTCACAGGGTGCAAAGCTCAGGCCGCCAAATGCCTTTTGCACCGGCAACCCAGACTCCCATACAGAACCAGTGTAATCACAAGCTGCAGCCAGCAGTTGCACGAGACCATCGCACTTGCCTCGAACTGAGCTGTGGCCTCAGTTGTGAGAATTCAGCATGCAAGCTATACATTGGCTGTGGCTCCTTACCCTTCCACGCACTGACAAAGGCTTTCGGCGTACATGTGGGCACAAGCTGAACGGGCTAGCCGCTCACCGGATGTGCCTAGTTTAGCATCGCCCTTCTGATCGGGCAAGCCCAGCGGCAATTGCCGCGACCATGAGCTCCCCCAGAAGCTCGACGCCATCATGCTTCTGGCCCTGCGCCACGGGTTCTGGAAAGGGAACTCGGGAAGCTTGATCAAACTATATACTTTGATAGCTACTGGCAAACCCAACATCCTACGAATGGCAGCAATGGTGCTTCTTGATGCAGCCTTCGCCATGAAGTTCTCCCCAGCTGCTGGATTTTCACTCTGCTCGAATCTTACGATGCTTTGAATCAGCAACGGGTACTTGAAGATGCTCTCGGCAAAAGCGAAGAGTCTTGCTCCACAGAGAGCTGTGGTCATGAAGTCCCCAATTTGTTGCAAAAGCCCAGAAACAACCCCCTAGACCGGCGGAGGCAACATTGACTGCAGCGGTCCTATGCAAGCTTGCGTCTGTCGACAGTGTTTCGCTGCTACTGTAGTTCTGCAGCTTTACTGCAAAGCAGTCCCACTTCTCCAACACTGGTTGTTGTCAAGTACGTGCGAGCACAACCTTTGTTACTTGTGCTACTGAGCTATCTACATTGGTTTGTGGAAAGCACATGCTGGCCTGGCCTCCAATGGATGGACGGTAGCAGCCAGCGAGTGGAAGCGCTCTTGATCGAAGGAGTGAACCTACATGTATCTACATGCTGCGATTGCCTGATGAGCGGTACAAGTACGGCTCAAAGTTCCTGGTCATAGCTGGAACCTCTTCTTGATTGTGCTTGTTTCAGAATTTCAATTGTTTCTTTCTTGCTTCTCTACAATGAAAGGGGGCCCAGCTTCATGCGTCTCAAAGATTGTTCGACCGCGGCCTGGGACAGCATCCGAGGCTTTCCTTTGTCGTCCTGTTCAGGCCATAAGACATCACAATGGGACAATCCTGGGACGCAAGGCACCTCAAATGCAACTTTGAAGGAGCTCGGCTCACCATTTCAAAGGAGCCTGGCCGCCCAGCAATGCCGAGGACAGCCGCAAGCAGCCCTGGAGCTTCTCAAGTAACTTGTATGATCATTGCTTTCAAGCCCCTCGGAAATGGACCCCTCCTCAAAAGCGAGATGGTTTTCAACAACCCCGCCACGCTTCTCTTCACCACTGGTTGACAAGCCTTGGAAGCTTTGACATCTGAAACGCCCCGCGCCGCTGAAAGCAAGCGCTGGTGCCTCTCCAGGTCCAAAGGTGTAGCTGAAGGCGAGCTCAAAGAACTCGGAGCAAGCTTTGAAGCCATATCCTGTCGAATCACTCTACAACTCTTGAAGCCGGTGCAGCGCAGCGAGGAAGATTAACCTGGCGCTCATGAGCTCATTGTAGCAAATTCGCCTCCAATCTTCTGGTACTCGGTGAATTTCCGACTGCCAGCCTTATTCGCTTGACCATTTAGTCGCATGCGGTTTCAATCTGTATACCAACTCTTCCAAACGACTTGCTGCCTTTGAACTGCCTACGCCTTGCCACAAGAAGAGCTACACTGGATGCAAGCGGTCAATGCCTGTGTCGGATGTGACCTCTGAGGAGCTGGCCACCTTGGTTCTCAATGGCCTTGGTCGAGAACAGGCTACACCACTTCTTGATTGACTGGAGAGGTTAAGTTGCAACCACACGCTGCCACTCCCCTGGCATATCACACGCGCTCTCTGACGCAATTGGCAATTACCCACCCACATACCCGCCTACCCAAGGCTTCACGATTTCTATCAATCAGCTTGTCAAGCACATGAGGAAATCAGATCCATAAGGCGCATTCGTCTAGCACAATCCTTCAGATCCGCCATCTTCCACTTGGACTTGTAAGCCGATGGGAAGCCGGAGCTACGCGGCACACGTGCTGACCACCTCGCTCATCCAGAACGTAGTCGCCGTACATCCGCCGAATCTCCCCCCCATTCTCCAGACAGTGCGACAGAAACCGATGCACATCCAGCAGTACACGAGGGCTTGCTCTGCTGCGTGCCAGTGCCAGAATGTGCCAGCTTATCTAGGCAATCTTGTTGGCCTCTGGTGACCTTTAGTGAGTTGTGTGCACCCCATCATAAGTGTCCAGATGCGTCCTCTTGCTCATGGGTGTGACCAGTCCCAACCTCCAGCATCTCTTTCAATGACCTCGACTCCAGCACGCTGCATTTGCACGATTGCCAAATCGACAGCCGATTTCCCTTGGCAAAACTCACGGCCGTAGATCCTCACCAGGACCGGATCGCGATCCGCGGTCTTTTCATAATTCTCGCTGCGTGCTCCGCACAAGTTCAAGTCCACCACCACACGGATTCCAGCGAGACCTTCACCCTTGAGCTGGCTCGCAATTTCCGTGGAGCTGACACGTACACAAGATGTTGTGGTGCAGCCTCCAATGACCAAAACATTGATGCCAGTCCTCTGGCGCAATGAGCCGCACTGTCACAGCCCATCATATTTACAAAACCAGCACATCTCTGCCAAATTCAGCTGGGCAACCTCACTTGCTGGTGTAGCCACCGGAAAAAAGCTGGGTTGTAGGTAACGTCCATGGTTGGCTTGTGAATGCAAGGGGCTTTCCTTAAGAAGGGCTCCACAACATCAACATACGGCTCGTCCTGCGGCAGGCTGTCGTAGCACTTGGTGCAGAGGATGGGCGTGTCAGGCGGCACACGCCCCGACTCCAACAGCCGGGCTGTTTCTCCACAGGCCCTCTCAATGTCGGTCACCTGCATCTTGCCACCGAAATGGGAGGCCCAGCAGCCGACAGTGAAGGCCTTGCCAGCAGAGTCCAGACACCCAAATGAATCCTCGCATTTCCCCATACTTCCCCTACCATCCGGTACAAGTGATGCCAGCTCTCTGCCTTTTGCAAGTCAATGAGCAGCAGGGCGGCTTTGGGCATGGGAACCTCTTACAGCTGAAATCTCTGTGCAATTACTGCGGAAAATGTGACGCTCCTGACAAGGTGAACAAGCACATGAAAAGTATGCACCTCGGCGACTGCGGCCATGCTCGTCCGATTGGTCCGCACCAATCTTCCGGGCTTCGGATATGGCGTGCAGGGGCTGAACACAGGGCCTCCCGCAAAGATGCTCCGATTTCTGGTGGGTAATTTATGGACCATTGCGACACATTATGTTGAGACTCCATATGACTGCAAAGCCGAGCTGCCACAGATGCCGATGGCCAAGATGCAGGCTCTGCAGCAGATCTTGCGGCAAACTCGGTAGTCTTTTAAGAGAAGCATATGAAATCGAATGCTTGAGCCCCGTGGCTACTGTGTGCGCCCGCCTTGCTTTCGCCTTGCTGTTTCTCAACGAGAAAGAGTGCATCCAACATTTGGCCAAGTGCTGATGTCGTTGTGTCTATGGCAAGTTCGCAGAAAGGATGCCATCACCTGCTACCAGTGAGGTCCAGGCTCTAGCGCGAAGGGTGCGGCCTTCACACAGTGACAATGGCAGTCGGGGCGGGGCAGGACAGTTCTTCGGAAGCCGGGAGCCTTCCAGAATGCCGGATGCCTCGGAAAGAGCGACGGAACACACCTTGCTCCAGCCTTGCGATGTTCACCTTCTTACAAAACATTCCCTGGGCCCGCAGCAATTTGAACTTGAACTTCGCAGCAAAGCGCAAAGCCCGGCAAATTCGCAAAGGGTCATCGATCAGAACCTGGCACGGGGCTTCGGACTTACGCCGCCTGGTAGCGATTTCTTTCGGACACTGGCTGCCATTGCGTTGCCATTACGTTGCCACTGCGTTGCCATTGCATTTCTTCCGTTTCCCGGCCTTGCTCCACCAAAGGACCTGTACCTGGGTGAAGATCGAACTATCTCGTAGCCATTAGGCTATGACTCCAGCAACCTGCCCCCAAACCAAGAAATCAAGTCCGCGGCAGCTTCGTCAGGTGGCAAGTCGTGAATCCCTAGACTCTTTGCCTTGGACTACAATACGAATACAAGGAAAAGTGCACTCAACCTCTCCACTGTTTGGCCAGCTCCTCTGCAACTCAATGTGACACCTGTGTCAAACCATGTCCAGCAATATCATTTTTTAAGCAATATCGCACTGGTCGCCGCGACCTCGCCGTGTGCTGCGGAACGTCCCTACAACGTGCTCGCCATGGCCAGGTCAGCAAGCTCATTCCGAGACGATCCCGCTGGACGATGTGCATGTTGCTGTCGACGCAAACTTGCACACTGCTGACTCCCCAAATATCTGCCATCTGAGACCAGGGCAAGCGGTGGTAGACAGAGCTCGTCCAAAAACCATAGACAGACCGCGTGGCACTGACCGACTCAGCTTGGACTGAGCACCCGAAGATAGACAGCATCACCCAGAGCTTTCGCGATACCAATGGCAAAGAAGATGCCGACAGCACCTGTCGAGCCACATGCAGTGAGACCCGAGTCGACAAACTCAACTTGCAAAGACAGTTTGGACCATTCATCCGACAGCGTGACTGAGAAAAGAAAGCCCAGGACTCAGGACACTTCATGCCCAAGGTTCTGCCTGCTACCAGCCGTGCAACTTGCCCATTTTGAACGACCACGTCAATGACGTCAGCAGCTACACATACGGATCCGATGTTCTTCTCCAAGTTCCTTGTCTGTAGATCATCTCATGTAAGCTTCAGCAACTGTGAACATGCCCTCGGATCAGCAAGCTGCATGCCTTGGAGAGATCGTAAGCACACCCGGGTTCTTCTGAATGACCTCTGCTGCCCTGGCATCTGTGCAAGGTTGAGATAGGTTGAGGTTAACTTCCATGGCTGTGACGAAGTCTGCTCAAACATTCCGCGTGCTTCGACATTTGATGAAGACTGTGCAAGTTGCAATTGTTCATGCATGGCTGGATGCTTGTGGTGGAGAGTTGGAAAGGCCGAAGCGACGTGCTTTCCGTGGATGTCTTGTTCTTGAAACACATGCTCACTTGACGAGGGTTCTTCTTCTTCGGATACCACTTGATGCCTCGCATTCAACGGCACCCCCAAGACCTGAACACTCCTGAACCGAAAAGTCTAGCCGCTCTAGCCCCAGCCTCTCTTTGCCCAGCAGTCTCTGCAAAACTTCTCCAGCTTTCTGAAGCTGACCCTTCGGCGGCCAAAATCAAAGACCAACAAGAAAAGGAAGCGCCGTCGAGAGTTTGGCCGTCCTCGCCGAAATACACGATTGCGATGTTGCGGCGCATGGCGGCCAAAGCGGGCTCTTCACCTCCATGACCATCTTAAGGTTTAGGGCTTAGGGCCTAGGGTCTTCCTTCCCCCTCGCCCCTTTGGAACGAGCCCTCGACTTTCAAACGCTCTTTCGTTTTTATGACGGGCCCTCTAGGGCCTCCGGCAGCCGCCGCCAGCGCACGGAACCGCCGCCGCAAGGCGGTGTCCGTTTGTGGACCAACATCGACGCTGCGCCACTTTGGCAGCATCTTGGGGGGCTCTCGGCTCTTGTGGTTTAGGGTTTAAGGGTTTAGGGTTTAAGGGTTTAGGGTTTGGGGGGGGGGGCTCATACAGTGCTGGCACACAAAGTAGCCCTCTCAGCACGAGAGTCTGGGACGGATGCCTCGGACAGAACGTCTCGCGCCCGATTTTCTCCGTCTGACCATGGCAAGAGCTCCGACAGCCATTGCCCTGCAATGAAAATCGAAGCATCTCGGTGGTCACGTCGCTTCAACTCCCACTGTCACTGCCAGCATGGCTTCAGGCCTACGTCGAAGGTTTTCTCCTTTCTCGTGACCAATTCGTAGTCCTCTGATGCACACCGCAGATCAAGATCATCAACAATCAGAAGTATGAGCACTGCAGGTCCTGTGCAAAATAGTTGTATACAATCTCCTGGCAGAAAAAAAGACTTACTACTTTCTGGATCATCTCACACAAACTCCATGAACCATTCTGCCCTGTGCTCCTTTTTGCCACTTTCGGCGCTCTCTGCCCTTCTCGATACTTGGCTGGATGTTCTCTTTGTTGGCAACTGCCAGCCACAAAATGCCTGATCGGGAAGGGCGACTGGTCACTAATCCCGATCTCTTCGCCTCAATGCCGACATACGCCCACATGCACAGCAACCAAGGACTTCGCACAGCCACCAAGCACCAATAAGAGGGCACTGACTTGTGCTCTGCCGGCACCCATGGCGGCAAAACACCGGTGCAGTTCCACGGAGAACCCGAAGGGCATTATGGCGCTTTTCATCATGGTCAGGAATGTCATAAGATGTTATAAGTACAAGTTGCCGATGTGCTTTGCTGCCTCTGAAGTTGTGATCAGATCTGGGCTGGAGCCGAAAAGGCTAGACCCTGGCTACAAGGGTGCCATCTGCACCATCTCTGGACCTTTGCCCACAGAACGTGGAAGCTGAGCTGGGGTTGTCGCGAGCTCCTTCTCTTCTGGCGTTCTGAGGCGCGTGACGAGCAACATCACATCTAGCGTCATAGAGAGAAGTGACTCCGAGAGCCTCAGCACCACTTCCTCAACCTCGGCAGGGTCCCGGCCGACAGGACCTGGCACACACAGCAGCTCATCCTCAAGGTCAGCCGGTCGACCTGCCAAAAAACTGAGGCCGCGGCAGGGAGATCTCAGGACTCCTCGCTCGATATCATTTACCTGCAGCAACCGTCGGCCCATGCTCTCCCTGAAGGAGAGCGCCCCAAACTTTCTCAAGACCCAGACTCCACCATAAAAGTCGAAAAGCTCATAGTGCAGAGCCTCTGGGTCACACATCCAGGCCAGGCAGGCTCTGTACGAAACAGCTTCGCCCCAACTGTTCAACGCTCAGTGCTTCGCAGTGCTGCTTTCAGAAGAGCGCACGCCTTGCATCCGGCCGAATACACAGTGAAACCAAGCTTCAATCCGAATGCGCTGGTGTTTCTGCATCTGATGTGCCTCATCATGCTGCCTGGAGTTGTTAACTGATCTGCGTGTCAGTGGCTCTTGGCGGCTTTGGCTGAGGTTTGCATGGCTCCACATTGAGGAAAGGAACACTCGTCGGGGAATGCTCCTGCCCTAACACCTTAAGTGCAGCTGCGCCTTTTGCGCGTCTCACGTGTTGCTTTGTTTGGGTCGGCCTCGTCCTTACGACACAAGGTGGAAGTGGGCTTGGTTGTGAATGTTGGTGTTCTTGTTGTGGCTGTTGGCCTTTTTTTTTCTGGATTTTCCTTACATGTGGAAGATTTTGTAAATCATGACCGCTTTTGCTCTCGTCCTCAAAAGGGATGTGCCTTACCCGTGACTGTTACCCGTGTGTCTGTTTACAGACCTTTCAGGGTTTGAGGGCACTCGGGCATGAAGTAGGCCTTTTCGGGGCCTACAGACACTCAGTTTTCAGGGCTCAGCACAGTATAGGGGCTTTGATATCAAGATTTTCGGGTTTGCGGGCTTTGCAGGTGTTTTGGGGTGCATGGCTCTTAAGGGCTTGAGGGGTCTAGGGCTGGGTGTGTCAGGCTTCAGGATGCTTTCAAAGATTTAGGCTTATGTTATTGCTTAGGGTTTTCGTCAGGAATCTAACGTTTTCAGTTCATTGGGGGACAGGAGTGCTTTCCCTTGATTCGGAGAGCTTGTCAGCCCCAAGGTGAAGGCATGTGCGGGCGTAGGCCTCGAAGATTTACACTTTCTGGTCTTTTTAAATTAAAGACTAGGGTGTTCAGGCATAAGGGATCTTGTCCTCGGAGATTTCGCGTTCTCCACCGTTGTTTCAGGGCTAAGAGCTTCCAGGCTTTACGACTTCTGGGGTGTAGCTTGTCTGATGAAGACCCAAAGTGCCACGGTCTCTCATGCTCCCACAAGCGGCACTGGCGTCGAAGCTCTTGGCCCCGGGGATCTGCCACTTAGCCAGGGCCGCGGCGCATTAGCAATGCGCCGATCGTGAGGTCTCGGCGCCTGCCAGCCCCACATGGATCTAGACGATGCATGTACAAAAGCATTTACGGTCCGATGATGAGGTCTCTGCAGGGCATCTTCCTCCGGAAGACCACGCTGGTCACGGACAGGTACCCTGAGCACGCTCTTCGCTGTAGATGTGCGACTTTTTGCATGGTCAACTGGGGCCCTTTTGTTGTGCGCAGTGTCCAGCGCCTGTTTTCATCTGAATATCTCTCCTCCCCGATTGTCGGCATGATGTCCACCTGTCAGTGAGTCAGCGAAGCTCAATCCAGGCCGCAGGTTACGCTCTTGCCCACCTCGGTCTTGACTCCATCCGTGTTTGTGAAGTGCGCCTCTCCAGGTGACGCGACTGCCATGTGATCCGTTGCTCCATATTCCTTCACTTTGGGACTGCCTTGAAGGTGTCGAGCTGCTTGTCTTTCGACTCGTTGGAGAGAATGGTCGCCTGTCAAGTGCCAGCTGCTGGGCCCACGAAGTCTAGGCGACCAGGCAAGTCCAGGGTAGCCGAACTTGAACGCCTTCAGAGTTTCTGAAAACATGAGCCCGCCACGTTTTTGAACTCTGTCAAGCCAAACTCCGGCCTGGCATGTGTCAATTCACCAAGGAGGGCCTTTCGTTGCTTCGTGTGGGCCAAGCTTGAAGTGCCTCTGTTCAACGTACGGCTTCATCTCGTCCAGCAGTGCTGCGACAGTTACCTGGGTTTGCCGACTGCTGTGCGCATCCGTACACCAGGTACGCTGCGAGCTGTCAACGCTCCTGAGACCCCAGGTGCGCCTCAGGCGCACAGTCACGAAGGCACAGAGTCAGATCGAGGTCGTCCGGCTCTTTTCCAAGCAGGAGGTCCCTGACCTCACATACTGACGTTTGTACAGAAAGTGTCTTGGCAGGGCGACGTCCAGGGCTCCAGCGTAACCTCCGTTGATGAACACCGGCACATCCGAGAGGCCTTTTACGGCTGAAGTTTGGCATCTGCGCGAGTGGAGCACAAACCCTCGCATGCTAAGAAAAGCCACATGCAGGGAGGCCTTGGTCTGCGAGGAAGCACAGGAAGAATCTCAGGATCTCGGCATCTGTCTTCGGAATCCTCGTGGGACGAGTCCGATACCACCCACTCTGCACTCGTTTCAAGCAATGCGCCTGGAGGCGTACCTGCCAGCAGCGGGTGTGGGGCAAGCGGAACAGACTAGGACCCGGATGTACCCGGATATTCCTGGAAGCTGTGGGCGCACTCTTCCGAGAGCTGCTCCCCATGCCGGACCCTGATTCGTTCACTTGCAACTGCAGCCTGCCAACATCAATCTCGGTAGCTTCATGACAGGTCCGGCGTTTCGAATTGCAAACGGGGCGGGGCAACCATCGCCGCCAAGCAGATCCGCGTTCGGCCAGGAAGACCTGTGTAGTCGCAGATACTCACACAGATACTAGCACTCGACACTCCAACTGCGACTCGTCGACGTTGCATGAAACGGCCATATTCCACCCGAAACTTCATGGAAAGTAGTCAGGGCCTGTGCTTGCCGCAGTCTGGCAGACTTTCAAGGGACCGGCACGCCTGAAGCAGGACAAAAGACTTTTCCTCAACTCCGGTTCTCTCGTGTGCCTGGGAGCACCCGCATGCTGTCTGTACGTGTTACGAGTGCGATGCTCATTGTCTGACCTGGCTGAAACCGGGTGCAGAAGTGCTGCGCCTCAGCACGGGACGATACAGTGTACAGATGTACACCATCCCTCTGTCGTGGCAGCATGCTCAGAGCTGATGAGCCCCGACATTGTAAACCAAGAGCACGACGAGAGGGCGGAAGCCTCGAGTGGGGCCAAGGAGCCTGATGCCAAGCCGGAGAAACGAACTTGCGAATCCATTCTTATGCTCAGCAGGCTGGGGAATTCCAGGCAAGAAGCCAGTCCACGGCGCAGCTGTGAGGAGAGTTCCAGCATGTGCGGGCGCGTTGTTACATGCCTGGTGTGGCCTTGAGGGTGTATGAGGGTGTAATTTGTGGCATGCTGCAGGGCCTGTGTGCCCCCCCTGTGTCCTGTAGTAGAGGCTATCACCCTGGACCTCGGCTACACAGGGTTGCAGCTAGTTACTTAGTTCGGCATCGAGGCAATGAGGTGGTCTGCACTGCAACCTTTCAGCTGCGCACGGCTAAGTGCAAAGTAACAGGTCAGCATGGTCTGCCACATGAATGCGAAGTGAGGTGGTAAGTGAAAGCTTGAGGTCAGATCGAAAGAGAGCAAACCCAGCATTGCTGCCGTCAACTGCGAACGTTCCAATTCTGTGGCTGTGAAGGTGAACTGCCGAACGTTCCGGAGGCAGAGTTGCTGCTGCTTGCTCAGATCTCGCAGAGCACTTGGTGTTCAGCTTGTTCTTTCTAAGGCAATGGATGTGGATAGGCCGCCAAGACACCACGTTCGCGAAAACAAAAATCACAAACGAAGTCGCCGCGGCCGGCAAGGGCAACCCTTGCCTTTTGAGCTTTCTCTAGTGCTTGTCCAACTCGAAACATTCGAAACGTGGGCTCTGGGCTTTGGGGCAAAGTACTGGGATCACTCACCGCCCTTTTTATGGTATTCCCCGACATCCAAAGACCGACGCACCAGTCCAAAACTTGAAGCCCTCCTTTTTTGGCACACTGCTACTGGCGGCAGGGGCTGAGCACCGGCCAACAAGCTTGCCAAGCGACCTCTTGCCCAATGATGGCGGGATGTTTTGGCCAAGACGGTCGTTGCATTTTTGGATCCAGCCGGCCGTTGCTGCCACCTCCACATTTAAGAAGCCGGAATGCTTGCTCACTGCTCCACCTGCACCTGGCTGGCTGCTTGGGAAACATGATGGAGATGGAGGAGAACAAAGAGTGCGGTGCTTTTACAGCGGACAGGCCCTATCACCCATGCATGGGGCTGTAATGTCCTGTGCCTTCCACCTCTCTGCAGCTGCTTCGAGGAGCTTCCGTCTTTCCGCGCGCCAGCCTGAATGAAGTTCCGAGCTGCAGAACACAGGTACCAACCATTGAAAGAGCAGCTCTATTCAACGATTCAACTCCGAAAAACCCCGCGCTGGCAAGCCATGCAGCCATATCCTTGAAAACAACACCTCTTCCTGATAAGGGTCTGCTACACTTCGGGCCAAGACGTCTGGGAGTGAAGATCTTCTACACACCTCGGCACACGGCCTTTGCAGTCGTTGCACTTTGCCGGAGGAAAAAGAAACCCTTGCTGCTCCTCGATACTTCTCGACAACTTGCAATTTGTTGCCGCTGCCGCATGCTGCATTTCTGGTGACTTCCGAAGTGCACATAACAACGATTGCCCCACGACGTTCTTTCCCCGGGACGCTAAACCCTACACACCTCCTTAGGTGGAGCCCTGGCAGGGCTCTGGCGCAGCAGCACTCGGCCGATGCCCACGCAAGACACCGACCTGGACACCTGCTCGGCTTCAAGCCTAGTATTCGGGTGAGTGGGTCAGCTCAAAGTGGGTGTTTTCTACAAATAGAGGTATCTTGCTTCCACCGCCTTCATCCTCATCCTTCTGGGAAATACGCAGTCCCTAAACCCTAAACCCTAAACCCGAAATCCTAAACCCTAAACCCTTTTGCAAAATCCCCCCAAACTTGGCAATAAATATGGCATCCCCCCCCTTCCGCCTCGTCATCCTGGGATGCGCGACAGCTTGGAACCGCAGCTCGCAAGGTGGCAGCAACAACCTGTTTAGGGTTTAGGGTTTGGGGTTTAGGGTTTAGGGTTTGGGGTTTAAGGTTTAGGGTTTAGGGTTTGGGGTTTAGGGTTTGGGGTGTAGGGTTTAGGGTTTGGGGTTTAGGGTTTGGGGTTTAGGGTAGCATTTACATGGCAGGAAAGACGTTCATCAACACTCGGACGAGAACAGCAGCTTTTCCCTTTCTCTTTCTCTCGTTCGGGGCGAGTGAGGGGCGCCCCCTTACAGCGTCTCACGAGAATACTGTTCACAGGATCGGTGCCCTTTCAAGCTGCTTTTCAAGGTGTGCGCCCTCAGACTACATTACCCGGCTACCTCTCCAATGCAAGGTATCTGTTTTGTTTATGGAAGGGCTGGGGGGCCCTCCCCACGCGCTCGCCCTCATGGGGTGTCTGTGTCTTTGTCTTTCTTTCTTGTTTTTCTTCCTTTTTTTTATTTATGAAGGGGGCAAGCCGGGAAGTGAAGCCCTACCGGGCCTACCGTCTTGGTGCGGGCTGTGGGTTTGAAACAGGGGTCTGGCTTCGGGGCCTCTGTCAGAGGTTGCCGCCCTTCTCCAGGCTCCCAATGTCGCTTTGGTCTGCTTCCGTGTTCCTTAGGGTCCCCTCTGCTTCCAGTGGTCGTCCCGGACAAGAAAGCCCCCTAACTCATCTCTCTCTCCGCTTCTTTTCTTGCCCATTGACAGTTATTTCAATACAAACTGCAACTACATTGCAGGCCTCGGATAGACTCTCAGCCTGCTGAGAAACCTGTCAAGTCGTGGCACATGCGGCATGCGAGCACTTCCGCAAAAAGGTGCCAAATTGTGCTTATGCCCCCATGTCCAGCTGACCAGAAACTGCACTTGCAGCAACGACGGAAAGCGTCTCGCTCTTTTTGTGTATCGACCACATCGAGCTTGTATGGGTCTGGCATATGCTCGAAACCAGCAGATGATCGCTCTGCAGTATTTGCAGTGGTTGCAGCAGGAAAAACTAGCAGAAACATAGTCTCATGCCACGGGCCATGCACAGCCCATCCGTTTCACGGAATCACATGTCGTGTCATATGTCCTATGTAGGACTTTACCATTGACCATACATGCCTACTACCATAGATGAACCTCCTCGTTATCCTTCGTGACGATGTGTACTCTCACATGAAGGGTCCGTTGCCTAGCCTTCCTAGCCCATAGTACCCAAATCGCCATACATGATCTCATTCAGAGCCTCACCAGGCGTTCTCCCTGTGATGCGTATGTACAGCTCCCCAGCAATGATGGGAGTGACCAGTAGCCCGAGAAGCCAGTAAGGTGGATCCTCTTCGACCTTTACAAGCTCGATGTCGAAGACCCACGGGTATTGCCTTCTGCCAGTTTGGCTGTGCAGATAGAGGACACCGGAAAAAAGGCCAACAATTTAGACGTGCAGTCGTCGGTTTGCGCAGAAACAGGTTCGCAACAGTGTAGAGTAACAATTGTTCAGCTCCCGCTCCCCATGATCGATTAAATTTCATTACGAATAGGGGCCAGAGGAGGATTTCATAGGGTGTGGCCGTAACAAAAAAATTCTAAGTAGATTTAATTACGAATGTAGGCTTGGAAGGGCGTGGCCTCTTAGCAGAATTGTTTTGATTGGGTTTAAGTACGAACGAAGCCCCGATAAGGATTTCTTAGGATGTGGCTTTCTCATACAAAACTCTACTGGCATTTAATGAAGAGGAACCGAAAGGAGAGTTCATACCGTGTGGCCTTCAATACAAAAATTTGAATTAGATTACATTACGAATGGGGCTTTGAAGAGGATGTCTTGGTGTGTGGCCTCGTAATACAATTGCATTAATTGGGTGTAATCGCCTCTGAATGCAATTGGTTTAGTTGGGTTTAATTGCGAACGAAGCCCAGATGAGGATTTCTTAGGATGTGGCCTTCAAATATAATTAAGTACGAATGAGGCTTAGAAGATGATATCTTAGCGTGTGGCTTCTTAATGTACAAATTCTGTCTATGTTTACTCACGAACGAAACGCAGATGAGAATTTCTCAGGGTGTGGCTTTATCATGCACAATTCATGAACAGGCCCCAGAAGAGGATTTCCTAGGGTGCGGCATTAAAGTATAGAAGATGATATCTTAGGGCGCAGCCTCTTAATAAAAATCCTGTCTATACTTACTCACGAATGAAGCCCAGATGTGGGCTTCTTACAGAAAACAATTTTCGATAAATTTCGAAGGAAGCCCAGATGAAGATCTCCTAGGTTGAAACCTCTGAATATAGATCTCTAATGAAAACTTGTTAGGAACAGGCAGGCCCCAGAAGAGGATTCCATAGTAGCCGGCCGTTTGATGCAACCATTTCGGCCCAATCTAAATACGAACGAGGCCGAGAAGAGGATTCATTGCAGTGCGGCCTGTGAATGTAAATTTCTAATTACACTTTATTACGAATCAGGCATGAGGATTGCGCAGAGGAAGATCTCTAAGGGTATGGCAGTGTGGCAGCCTTCTAATCTAACTTTCCAATTCGATTGAGAACTGAATTTGATGTGGCCGAAAGGCTTTCCGACCTAGATCATGGCGGGGGAGAGCTAACAATTCTGAGATTTCCATCGTCTGCAACCAAGCAAAATGTTTGCAGCTGTGTCGAGCAAGGTGCCCTCGCTCGCTGTACACGCCCCAGTCCAGCTGCGTCGGCCTCACTCGAGAACAGTCTTAGTGAGTTTCGGGTTTAGGGTTTAGGGCTTAGCACTACTGGTGTGCCCACAAATATCCCCGAGACCCGCTGGGGGCCCATCTTGGCCCCTGGCCTGGACGCCGGAACCCAAACCCTCATCTTCTCGCCCTCCCGCATCTCCAGCAGCGCTGCACGCCAGGCTGCCAGAACCTGCCAAAGCTAGGCAGAACTTGCAGCGCAAAGTTTGGCTGTCTCGATGTAAGCTTGGATCTTGAAACGTGAAGGAAATGGCGGGAGGCGCAATTTATAGAGCTTGGGGTACGCCTTACTAGGCGATCCTGGGCCCTAGGGAAAGGCAACGAGGTGTCTGACTTGGAGCACATGCATTTCATCGATAGTTCGCACTCTCCTTCCTCAATATGTGGTGCCTGCTCACCAGCGAAATGCAGGTCCAACCGTCAAACCCCATGTCTTTCAATCACAACCTACCGCAACCTGAGGTCCGCCTTGCTACACCAGATGCTCCAATTTTCGAGAAACAAGTCTGCACTATTCTGCACCATTCTGCGCTGCTATGTCGACATGCCTCTGAGACTTCGAACATCTCTGGCTCTTGTGTCCGGAGGAATGAACTGTCAAACATCTGTGCGTCTTGAACCTGGTGATGGATGAGTTCAGAAAGAAATGTCTGATGGCCTGCAACATATTCACCATTATTCACCATTGAACCGTGCAAAGATCTAAGAGGGGCCGGCGGTCAAAGTCTAAACTCTAAATGCTGCGTTCGACCAAGCTTCAGTCCAGCCAGTGTGCCGTATGTAGACCCTAGAACCTCTCGAAGGGATGAGGCCACCCTTCTTTGGTGGGGACAGCTGCTCGGTCGCAATGCCGCTCGCCCTCCGGTTCCTCCTAACTTTGGGATTTGGGCCACGGTACTTCAAGACGTCCTTGGCTTCGAGCTTGTGGAAGCATGGTAGCTGGATGTCGCCCCACCAAGCTCAAACAAACATACCCCAAAACATCCTAAACAAAAACATAGGAGAAAACGAACCTGTAAGATGGATGTGATCCAAGCCTCTTCTGGGGGCGGGAAGCGGCTGTCTATTTTTGGCCCTCTCTTCTCACCCAGGTCCGGCACTGCTCGTCGCAGGACGCGTGGCGCGTGCGACTGCATCGGGATGAAGCACAGCACTGCCACGGAGATTGAAGAGAAAAGCCAACATGACAAGCCTCAGGTGGTTCCGTTCCACAACATGCTATAGGGTCTAGTTCCCTAACGTAAACCTTGCAACTCTGGAAAAGTCTGCCGTTGTGCGACACAGCTGCCGAGAACAAAGACAGCGGCCAGCCTCAACAGCTGTCGCCGGCCCCTCATGGCACGTTTGGTTGACCCCTGCATTCAGCCCGACCTACATCGTGAGCCCAAAGAGCTATGGGAAAGCCATCTCCGATAAGCCAAGCTTGTGTGCAGCTTAGGAGGGCAAGGCAATCCGCCCTTCGCCCCAATAATCCAGCCTTCGAGAAACAGGAAAAGGGCGACGATTTTAGGTGTCTTCCCCTTGCAGGGGCAAATTCGGCCTGCAGGCTCCCCTTTACCCTCGTTTGTTAGAGCCGGTCGCATGCTTGACGAACACGGGCTGTCGAGCCAAATTTCAAAAGGGCCCTGAGTTTTCCTGCTCACTGAACCCAAAGCACTTGCAAAGAGTGTGTCCAACGTACCAGTAAGACATGTTGCCTCCATCACATGCTGAACAAGCCGAACCATTCGGTCGAAAGTTGCAGGTTGTGGCTGCTGTCGCATATTCGGCCCACATTCTCCCTTTGAGCCCTGCAAGATGGATGGGTTGACACCTTCTAGGCCACAACCTTGCATCACTTTGCAGGTGAACTTACCACTGGGGTCCGCATTCGGGATCCTGGGGCGTCTGGCAGTTGTAGACTAGTCTCTTCAGTCCTGCACTTCGGATCCTCTAGAATGCCTGGCCAAGGCCTCATTACCTGGTACATCCTCGGCGCAAATCGGGACCTGTTGGAAAAGGCAAAGAGCCAGGAAGCAGCATTGCGTATCCGCTCTTGCTTCAGTTCTGTCCAAGAAATACTTCAGAATTTCAATTAAGCGGTCTTCATCTCAATGTCCACCACTGCATTTTCACAAAAGGCAAAGAGCCAGGAAACAGCATTGCGTACCCGCTCTTGCTTCAGTTCTGTCCAAGAAATACTTCAGAATTTCAATGAAGCGGTCTTCATCTCAATGTCCACCACTGCATTTTCACTGCTTGCTCCCAAGCACGTTGCCTCTGTCAATCCCAGCAGCGAGCCATCCCTGGCAAAGATCAACTCCTGGTCAGGGCACTCTGAGCACTCGAGGGGGACCGACGGTTCCCCCAGTGCACAAGAAGCCCAGCCTTCACTCCCAAGGCTTCGAGCTCGGACTTGGCCTTAGAGCCAACAAGCCCAAAACATCGCGTCGCGGACAGATGAGAGCGGGCCTCTGCGGACAAGCCGTGTGAGCCGGCCTCGGACGGCTTCGGGCGGTGCTTCCCATCGAGACACCACTTGTGAAACCCCTACACTGCTCCTACAAACCCTACACCCCTATCAGAAAGGCCCACGCGGCTGGGACAGGCAAGGTCAGCTTGTCTGCTCCATTGTCCTCTGGCACAAGGCAAGTGAAATCCGCCATGCAAGAACTTGCAGATGTACCCCGCACTCCGATGACCCCAAACAAAACATAGCTGTCTTCTCTTCGCCTTGACCTCCCAATCCAGGGGGCCGGCCCCCTTTCTGCAAGCGCAATACAGAAACGCCCTACGGGCTCCTGCTCCACGAAGCCGTGCTGCAGCAGCAGCGAATCGCTGTCCTGCGTGGGACTCTTGAGACTCTCATATCAAGCCCCCAAAACTAGCCTTTGTTTGGGAGCCGGTCCATGGACCCAACGGAAAGCGCACGGGTCCATTTGGCGGATGCCCCTCGCACCGAGCAAGGCGCTTCCCCCGAATTCACCACAGGATTCCCGTGCTTCAACTTGCTCGCTGCAACAACCGCTTGGCCCTCGTGCACAAGTCGACCAGGCTCAGAAAACCCAAGTTTGGAACCTAGCCCGCACTGGACCTTGTGCTTCTAGAGGACAAGCTTACGTATCTCATGCGGCGCACATGGGGCATGCTGGTTGCACAGCGCCGGAAGGCGAGCTTCGAAAAGATACGATATCATACGATGTGACGGCGCCAGCTATCCTTGCCACGGAAACAACATGGAAGGTCCTTGTCCCCATAGCTGAAAAAGATTTCTTCGCCAGCGCTATACCTGCCAACAAGTCGAGGGAAAAACCAATCCCAGATGCACGGCTGCAAGACGCTTTCAGTTGACTCAGGAGACAAACTAGAAGACATTTGCAACTTGTTTCGTGGACCATGGAGGACTGCCAAACTGCCAAAAGCTGTGTGGGTCACGTGCGTAAAGCCCTCAGCTCCCACCGACGGCTTCCGGGATCAAACTGCAAATCTGGCGGAGCCTTTGCAAATGATCAGAGTCATACTTAGTTGCACACCTCCCAACACATGCTGAGGCCAGCACTCCACTTTTGTGGTTGATTTGGTCAATCATGGGCAGGAGGGACAAGACCTGCACTGGTCACAGCCCGCACACGGATCAACCTGGACGCAGCTTCAAGCATCACACCTTGGCATCATCGCTCAATGCCTTGGATAAGATTCGACTACTGATATGTCCACTTTGCTTCAGGTCATGCCGCAAGGTGCCACAGGCTTGCGGGTTGAGAAGGATCAATTCAGGGGTGCGAATGAAAGCGGCTGGTCGAAAACGACAAGTCGTGACAAGGAGCTTTTCAAAGACACCATTTTTTGCTGAGCTAGCAGTCAGGCCGATGTCTTTTGAACTCTGGGGCCTGCGGCTATAAGGCTGGAACATCTGGGGCCTTGCCGGGCCCCACACTCAATCAAGCCAATGATGTGGATCTTGACGAGCCTATTGCCTCCTTCATGTTACTCACTTCGATCTTGTCGAGGGGAGCAAGTACTTTGTCGATGGCCAACCCTAGATGGGAAGCTTGGGAGATCAGTGCTAACAGCACGCGCAAAGAAACACCGAGGAAGAATGGCATGAGCCCTGAAAGCACATCAGGAGAAGAGGAGAAGAGGAGAGTAGGGTTGAGCAGGGAAGCGCAACTTTCATCCCTACGGAGGCTGTGGCAGAGGCGCAGCTGACAAATGACGATTGACTTGTCCCCACTTCACTTCCGATTTGAGCGCAACGAGCGAATCCGGAGAACGGATAGCATCTTTGAACGACTGATGCCTGCAGGACAAGTAGCCACAGCCGCTCCTGAAGCTGCAACGCCCAATGCTCCAACACTGGCAGCTGCATCGATGCCTGGCCCGCCATCTGGTTCAAACGTGAGCACGGTTGTGCTTGGGCAGGCACCCTTGCTCTCTTGATCTCTCTTGCAACACGTGCATCAATGGGGGGCGCGTACTGACCACGCCAGCCGCAGCAGCTGCTCCAGCCGCCTTAAGAGACCATTGACAATTCAAACATGCCACACCCATGTGAACGCTCTGTTGTGCCATTGGTGTGCCCATGTGGCTGCCATCTCTCTGAATTCCTTGAGGAGCCAAGCTTCCGGCCGTCAACGTGAGTGCGCCGCAGGCCAAAGCCGCAGTGCGAGCTGTCGACACATCACCCTGCGTGGCTATTCAAAGCCTAGAGATGAGCAATGACGAACTGGGTCCACACGAGTGGTGTTACACAAATGTCATGCGCGTGTTCAGACAGGATGCTCGTAGTATGCTTTTAAAGCTGCTCGCGCCTCGCCAGCAAAGGCCCTGGAAGCGGCAGCGTGGTGAGCACGAAGAAACAGCTCTTCTGGAACTTGCTCCGCAAGGCCCCCGGCCTAGCGCTTCGGAAGGGCTTGGCTTTCACGGGTACAGGGTTTAAGGAATTTCAAGGACGAACTTCTTTTGACGCTGTCCAGAGACCCCAAGCCCGAAATATCTCAACAGTCTTGTCCTTGCTCAAACCCAAAGGGTGATGCAGCGCTGCGGCATGCTACTGGGTACGGCACTGCAGCTTGCGAATATCGCCCGTTTTTGGTGAATTCGTTGCTTTCGTTGTGATGACCGTGATCAGAAGGGCGTCCGCGTGGACGATGACGAAATTCATGCCCGCTGACTAGTCCGCCAACGATATGCGGATTTACGGGCTGCAGCAGCCCCTGACGATTTGTTCCACACTGACCATTCGTGTAAAGCGGCATGCTTGCAGTGCAGCTTGTGTCGTGACACGTGGTGATGGGTTTTCGTTCAGGACATGTCTTGTCGAGCTTATGCAGCAGGGCATGCCCTTTGTCCAAGCTGCTCGCTGGCGTATGCATCATATGCATCTCATATGCATCTCTTGAGTCTCGCAATGTTTCACGCAACATGCTTCTGTTGTGTGCTAGCAACAGGGTCTCCAGCTTTGGGGATGCTTTTAGGCCGAAGACAACCCTGGATGCAATGCAGAAAACGAGACGGGAGAGGAACAGAGGGAGCGGAAACGCTCGGCCGGCCTTGAGGTCCTTGCATGCACTTTCCAAAGCCTTCTTGCGAGCTGCTGCACTTGCAGCAAGACCATCGGGGAGAAACTTCAAGTCCTGATCCTCCCACAGCCATGGGGCATAGATGTTCTCCATGGGGTAGAGCATGTCAAGGTAAGGTCCAAATTTCTCCCGCTGAAAGACTAGTGCAGCTGCCAATCGAATGGAGCTGCGGGTGTGCCTTGACCACCAATCGGCCAAGGGTGCCAGATCCGGCCCCGGGTTGGCCGTCTCTGACATGTCCACGGACACTGCAGACGCTTCAGGAAGTTGTACCAGAACCTCGCCCTTCGCAATGGTATCTATGCATTTGACGCACCGGCCGTCTTCCTGATCCGGGAGGATCTGGAGCTTCTTGGACGTCACGATACCTGTCGTATCCATCCAGTCAACAAATTGCTGGACGGTGCTGGCCTCTGTACGGGAAGCAAAGCATGCAAGGTGCGCTCCCCTTGCTTGCTTGAGACGGTGCCGTCTTTGGCTGCGACAGAAAAACGCAGCTACACCGCCCATGCTCACTCCGCTCGTCACAAAGACGTGCGACCAAAAAACACTTCGTGGGACGTCCGCTTGCAACACATCGCTGCTGCAGCTTTTTGCTTGCTGGCCATCCGCTGGCCAGTACCTCGGCCTGTTTTGCAGGCACACGCTTTTGGCAAGGCTCCCATGTGCTAGCATGGCACCCCTTTCTACTGACCTGATTGCAAGGGTTACGGCGGTTACGGTAGAGACGATTTTGAAAGGTTGGCAGAAAGTCCTCATATTCACTTTGGGCAAGCCGTCTGCTGTGCTCTGTCTTCGCTTGAGCAAGGAGCTTATTGTTGCACCACCGCGTAACCTCATAACGGTGGCTGCGTCAACGTTCGCGCAAAAGGCCCCCCGAAAGCTACCAACACTTTGCGAGGAACATATTTTCAGCGTTGTTGTGCTGTCATGTAGATGGGCCGGTCTGTTCCAGAGAGCCCACCCACAAGTCTCTGCTTGCACAGTATGTACATTGCCTCCTCATTCAGCAACAGCAAGGCCCGTGTTTCAGCGTATTGAACGCAGCTCTTGCACAGTTTGCTTGAATTTTGTCCCCAAGAAGGCTGTCCTGTGGTCCTGTGCCTTGCTGAGCGCAAGCCTTTGTTTGCAAACTCAAACACCGGGCCCTGACAATGCCCCGCTACCACCGACTGCGGCAGTTTACTTGCATCTTTGGCAGTCCGGCGGGCGCAGGCAACACTCCAGGCAGGCTAGTGCCACTTTATTGCTGCGTCTTGCCTCGATTTGTGCAATATCAGGGGAAATCTTGCTCTTCCATAGCCTCGCAGGCTCACTTGGCAGAGAATACAACATGATATCAGTCCGAACGTTGCAAGCAGACAGAATCAGTCACGGAATCCAACAGAATCATGTCATTGGCAGCTGTGAGGGTCCTCCAGCAGGGCTTGAGCCTTTCTGGTCTCCTGGCTGCGCAGCAGCTGTGAGCAGAGTTCGTACTAACCTAGTACTTCGTGTCTGAGTGTTTGATAAGTGAACGGATGCGAAAGAAGGCATAAAGAGACGCCAGGCTCACGTCCACTCGGACCTTCGACTTCTCGAGCCCAATGATGTCTGCATACATCTGGCAATGACGGGTGCGACAATTTTTCTGCGAATCTGTCTGAAATTCTCTACGGCTCCACGTACACGCTCTGTTGCTTTCCGGTGATGCGCCCGGAAAAAAAGAGAGGTGGCAAATTGCAAGCAAAAGCACAAGCATCATGTGGCCTGGTCGCGATATTGCGACGTCGAGAACTTGTGATCTCGGCAGCTGCTTCTTTGTTTGCTTTCAGGCTGCAGCGCATATTATCAATTCGACGTCCAGCTTCCCCCCGAGTTCAAGGCTGTCTGGCAATGTAAGCTCAAGCCGGTGGCCAAAAACCTCGTGTCTGGAAACTGATTGAGCTGGCTGATGAAACCATGTGCATGCAGGGATGTGCAAAAGGAACAACCAAAAGCCATCCGAGAAATAGACAGGCTCCGCATCCGGGTCATGAAAGGCGGAGAGGAACGGATGCCGCAAGGCCTGATCTCGACTCACTCGCCTAGCCTAGCACTCCTTGACAGCGAGTAAGGTTCATGAGCCCGCAAAAGGTCTCAGCATGGTTCACCATGTTTCATCAATGCACCTGCCTCCACCGCAGTCAGCCGCTTCATCGGATTCCACTGGCAAGTGAAGACACAGTGCTGTAGTTGCATCGCATCGCGAAGTTGAATTTCAATTCGGGGGTTTGTGTTCCTCTGCCCTTGTACCCGACCAGCTCATTCGCGCTTTTAGAAGTGGCCTGGAAGCAGAGCTCCAGTAGATCGCACAGAACTTGGGAACAGTCTGGGATGATCTCTGCGAAGGCAAGCGTAGGCCTCAGACAAGCAGCATCCTTGCTCTTGAATGCAAACAAAATGTCCGAAGGCCTCTCTCTGCCGAGGATCCCGCAGCGATATCGGCAGCTGTTGAAGTGACATGTGCGCATATTGGGCCTGGGCAGCATGCATGCCACGCATGTTTGCCATGCACTGTGTTTCGGTGTGTGTCCACCGACATGTTCGGGTTCTGAAGTCCACTTCAGTCGACGTTTAGTCAACGATGCGCGTGACTTCAGCCACAGCTTTCGACTACCATTAGGAAAACATCGCGGTCTATCGATTCTGCAAGTACCAGTGTGAAAACTGCCATGCACACAGCCCGCAGTCGCTCGTGCCAGAAGAGCAGCCTACTCCCTTTTGAAAACTCTGGCTCGCACACGTCAAGAATTCAGCAGAGCCATAAAGGCTCGTCCCTTTCAGTACGAGGTGACGGAGTTTCAAAAGCCCAATGCAAAACATCCGCAGCCCGAACTGATGGAAACACCCGAAACGAGCCCGACAGAAGCACTGAATAGCAGGACAAGATCAAACTCAGTTGGTCTACTGGACAATCCAGGAGCCAGACTTGCATGGCATCAACATCTGCCTGAATTCAGGAGTGAATGGTAGATTGACCCCTCTCCGGCTGCTTCGAGCTTTGATCCCTGCCTCTAGCGGTGTGCCCAGGAGCTCAACCTGCTAACAGCAAAGCTTGCGCGCATCCCACCTGAAACACGAAGTTGACGCTCAGAAGGGCACGATGTTGTGCATCATGTCGATCGTGGAGGAGCCCTTGAGGACCGGTTTCTGCAGGGCGCAACCAGGGGATGCGCCAAGGGCGCACTCCGTAATCTCCGTATTACTCCGTAGCTCCCTTTCCCAGAGCGGTCCCCCAGGTGCATCTCTGCGACGACGCATCCCCAAGCCCAGATGTCCACTGCTGTGAAATAGCTCCTCAGGGCGCTACACGACGCTACAGGGTGAGCTATATGGTGCTGCCTGGCCCATTGGCCCAATTTCCGCTCTTCAGGTCAAGGTTGCCCATGAGGCCTTGCGCCCAGGAGCTGCTCCGGAGCCCGGTACCTTATATTGGCCATGCTTCCGCAAAGGTCCGATGTCGCTTCCGAGGCGCCCGCCAGCGTGGGCCGACGTAGTCCGTCAACCTCGAATCGCACAGTCAGGAGAAGAGCAGGAATGCGTCGTGCCCTATATTCCAGGCGTCCAGGCATGACTCCTTCCTGGCAAGGCTGCTCAACTTGGATCTCCGCGACATATAAGGCATACATGTCACTCCAGATTATGACATCACAAGGACCCTTGCAAGTCCAACAAGCCGGCTGTTCGCTGGCAGTGTCGACCGGCCTGGCGCGCACGTGCAAGCACTTTGCCAACTACTTCCAAGACTTAATCGCACAAGAACATAAACGGCCTGAGACACCTCTCATCTGAACAAGGTGCAGCTGTCACTTGACACCGCGCGCAGAATGGGGCTTTGCAATCTTTTTCGCGCGAACACCTTAGACTTCTCAGACGCTGTTCGTCTGAGGAGCCTGGACGCTAGTTCAAGAACCAATTCTGCGCCACATCATGCCTAAGACCAACTCTGAAGTGACATAGGTTCTGCCACTTCTTGACCATCAGGCTTTGATAATGTACAGCGCGCGCCCTTTGACGCACGCATGGTCAGAGTCGTCATAGATAGCAGCGTTTAGGAATACTTTCCTTGGTGTCGCTTAAGTTGGTGTGCCACGTCTGACCAGGTCATGAGCACATGTGGTGTTGCGATGAATCCGCCGACCCCTCCCAGAAAGCAATTGGGTTCGGGTCAACGGTTGAAGAATTGGACTGCTGAGCAGGACCGGACTGCTGATCCCGTGTCAAGCGCGCCCCGTGCACGGCCCAGTGCGCATAATGTTGGTACGTGAATCCCACAAAGGAGAGCTGATGCTCATGGTGCTGGGTCAGGGGGCGAGCCACTTGAGCACTTGAAGAGTTCGGCCAGGCAGCTGAAGCTCATGAGGCCGGTTTAGGCCGTCGGCATGGTTGAAGAGATGGACTGCTGATGATCACTATGCAGCTGATGCTCGCGATGATGGATGATTGGGTCAAAAGCCTCGTGATGCTGGCCCTTGTGCGGGTCCCACCCAGCATGGTTGACTGGACAGTCGATGCTCATGATGCTGGAATCATTGAAATGATGTCATGATGCGGTTTTATGTATTCTTGATTTTGTTTTTTTTTTTTTTTTTTGGGGGGGGGGGGGGAGGGGGGAGTGCCAGTGCGATCGAAGGACTGGAATTTACGCCGCTATCGCCTTTTTTGCCGGCATGAACCGGTATGAACCCTTATAGGCACATGGGCGCACATCTTGAGGAGCACGATGCGTGCATTGGGTCTCATATCTTCTGCCGGGCCTGGACAGGACCCATCAATTTAGACTCGGGGTCTGGCAATCCTTTGAGAAGCACCCATGGCCCGGCTTTGGATGCTCTTATTCAAGTATTCTTTAGATTCTTTAGCAGCTGGAGGATGACGACCATGCCACAAGCCTTCTTCTCACGTGTGGGACCACGAAGCTATGACGAAACACGACGAACTATTCGGACCTGCATCGGGCTTCGGGCGACAGCCTTGCATACAAATGATGTGCTCTTTCTCTACTTGCAGGGCGAGATTCTTCCCTCGCTCGAGACGATCCACGCATACCTCCACCAAGTACTCCGAGTTTGATCTCAAAGGACGCCGGTAGCTGAGGTCAAGATGGGCTGTAAAGATCTTCACGTCCTTGCCCAAATCCTGCACAAATTACCCAAACACCGACCAATACGATGGAGACATACCAAGCGCGTCGACATCAAGATGTCATCACTTTCAGTAGCAACCCTTGAACGACAGTCCTGGGCGTCTTTCTCGATCCTCAGGTAGGTACAATAGGCCAGGTAGGCTCAGACAAACTTTCATACTGAATCTTCATGATCCAAGGAAACATGCGCAGACGTCCTGTTAATTTGCCGAGGCACCAGGTGGCCAACCCGGTGAAATCGTCGATGATAGCTGCCGAGAAGCCTCCATGCAGCAAACCGGGATGACCATTCAGCTCCTTAGCAGGAGCCCCGCATTCTTGGCCCGCGCGACATCGAAGTGTTTTGGGATTTCCGTGTCAGCTCTTTGAGGCAGGAAGCGTCACCAACCTTGATGACCTGAGTCAACATTGTCTGAGATTGGCTTTGGGCCATCCGCACTGGCACGTACCGCTGCGCACTGGTCGCTTATGTGCAGCCACCTGACGCAGCAAATTCTGGTCTTGCCTTCCACGGCTTCTGGCCCATCTAAGGAAACTTCGCGATCGACGTCGCCGCGGCGACAGTGAAATATGCGGCACTCCTGGCACATGTCCGAGAAAGTCCAGCACCGCTCGACTAGATCATTCTGGTCCTCAATTCGTCGTGGCCCGGTGCAGGTCTGCCAAATGAACTGCTTGTCTTTTCCTGAGGGCTCCAAGGCCAGGCAGAGTGGAGACTACGAAGTGCCATTGGTTCCCCTTGGAGTTTTTCTGACGCTGGGGGATTCTCAAACTTGAGGTGCCAAGTGTTTTAGCCGAAGTCGGACACTTTGCGTGTCAAGCTCTACTTTGGCAGCTTAGGGCCAAGGGCTCGCCCATAGCAATGTGTAGTGCGCCTGCTGGAGCCTTGTAACTCCACTTGCGGGTTTCGAATCAAGAGAATGCTCGTAAGATGAGTTTATTCGTCGATAAAGCCAAGAGTCTTTTGCCAAGTATCTCCTCCCTCCGCTCGTTCATGAAGTCTAGCAAAACTGCATCCTGCTGCTTTGGGCATGACGCCATCAACATTGAGGTTTGTCGTACTGGTGCAGATCTCCTCACCGATGTGCTTTTTCCAAACTGACTCCGAATCAGCATGGATCACCTGGGCCAAAGCGAAAGCGTAGTAAGTCGTCTCAGCTTCATTCCAAGTACAGCGGCCCTCTGCGTGCCTTGAGTCCAAGCCAGGGAGCGCCGATACCGGCTGTAATCGCCAGGCCTTCAATCAACGTGGCATCCAAACAAAAGGGTCAGGCAGCAAGCAGGAACTTAACTTGCTTTCACTAGCTGATCAGAGACTGCTGCCGACTTTTCTGTGATCCCTCTACATGGCTTCCAAGAGGGTTTAAAAGGGGGTGGCCTTGTTTCAATAACCTGATGGGCCTATTCCCCCACTGGCGCGCTCCGCCGGTGCATTTGTAAGAGCTCAGAAGTGTCTTTCTGCTTTGCTTCTTGAGGGGTGGGTGGGTGAATAACTCAGAGGAATGGAGGGTGCACTGGGCGATCCAGTGCACAATGGTTGGTAGACGACCGCTCACTGGGCTGGCTAGCCTTTTGCGACCATGAAAAGACATGAAACGACGCATGTAGTAAATCCCGAAGCCTCATGTCGCTTGTATGCATCCAAGAGTCCACCCCTGCGCAAGCCAGCCGCCGCCTGTCTGTGAGAGGCGGCCATGACAGTGCTTGCACTTAAGCCTCAAGCTTTTCTTGCAGTGCGCCTGGGCTGTCTGCCGCACCCTGGTCCAAACAACATGCCGACGCAGGGTCTCAGCTGCCTGCCAGCACCTGGAAAAGGCACCGATGACTTGCAAATCTACCGTTTTTCCAAGTACTGGTAGGGTTTGCCAGCTGCAGAGGCCACGTGCTTCGAAATCTGATGCTACCGGAGTGCCAGAATCGCACCTCCTAGTCGCTTGCCACATCATCGGCTCGACCAGGCTAGTTGTGCCATGTGGCTGCGGATTGCAAGGCATAGTGTTTTACATCATCGTGAGAGTTAAAAGTAGAGCTTCAGAGGCAACATCAACGATGCCGGCAGCACGAGGATCTGGCTAGACCGAAATCTCCCACTAACACCTGCGCTTGAAAATCAGGGAGAAGGCATGAATTGTGCTCTTGTTCTCCATGCCAGCTGCTGCTTGTTTCGCGCCTGGCAGGTCCGGTCCAAAAAGATGTTCCCGGGTTTCAGGTCGCGGTGCATGACTCCCGCGGAGTGGATGTACTTGAGCGCCCGAAGCACTTGGTACGAAATGAGGGACTTGTGCACGATGCCTAGGGAGTTGCACCTGCGGGCAAAAATTGTGTGTTGAGTTGAATGCTGAGTCTCCGGAGTATGTTCGGGCGGAGCACTTTATGGCTTTGCACAAGTCAGACTCCATCAAGTCCGTAACCTGGCACGGTCACAGGTTCATGGCAAGCCCTTCCACAGTAGGGGATTTCAGTGGCAACACTTGGGCTTGGGCGATGTAAAGGTGCTTGTCATCAGCGGAGACCAGCACATCATGCACCTGAGCTCTTCTCTCTCGGATGATAAGAAAGAGTGTGTGAAAGACACTGAGCGCAGTGCGTACAAGATATTTGTGTGGCTCCCGAACTCCATGAGGTATGACACCTTCCAGAAGCAGAGCCTCCCCGATACTTCGTGCAACGGCAACGGTCTTTCCCATCAGGCCTCTCTGTACGTTCGCTGGGCATCCGTTGAGTTGTTGAAGGCATACAAAACCTGCTCACATTTGATCGGCAGGGGCTGCCATCTGCAAAGTTTGCCATGGTGCCATCCCGTGGCCAAACAAAAATGCCGCTCGAGCCGTTCGAATCTTGGCCCCTTTGGTCATGCTGAACTCCATGTGCTTGCCTTCTTCATTGCAAACTTATCGAACTTGGTAGGGTCCTCCAAGAGCAGCTCTGCGATTGTCGAAACACAAACTGTGAGAGAGAGTGAGAGAGAGAGAGAGAGAGAGAGCGAGCGAGAGCGAGAGAGCGCGAGACAGGGAAAAGGTGACTGTACAGAGATCAAGCAAGCAAAGTCCCGGAGCATGACCTCAAATACGACGCCATAGCACCTGACATGGCGCAGGCAGGCAAGACCTTCATTCATCCTGGCCCCAATATTCTCAACCCTTAACTCCCTCATTCCTTCACCCTTTCAGGCGAGACCCTGCCTTTAAACTTCTCTAAGCCCCTAAACCCTGAACCCTTGAATCCTCTTCGCCCTTGAGCCCTGAACCCTGGGCCGGGACCCTCGTCCGATGCGCGAGATGAGCTCGTAGCGGCGAGCCACGTCGCGATCAATGCGTTCATATGGCGGCTTCCCTCAGGCTCAGACCATACCGAGACCGTGAGACCACGAACTCTACAGTAAGGCTTTTAGCCGAAGAATGAGAAGCAAAAAGCCGTCAAACGGCATTTGCTTTGAAGCTCGGACTGAGCGCACGACTTCTGGACATACCATGAAGCGATGAGGTAGGCTAATGATGCCGGTAAGTACACATACCTGTATAGGCTACGCTCGCCAACGTGGTCTCCTGAACATGCTGGCTCGACTGAGTCTTTTGACCTGATTGCTATGAAGCGCACTGGCTAATTTGGTATGCTGATTCAGAAATACGTGACCACCTAAAGATGCTGCATGTTACCGCCACACCTTTCACATACTGTCACAAATACCTTGTCGGTGGGATTCTGCTACTTGAGATGCTGCAAAATGTCTCGAAGATCGTATACATACACAGACACAGAGACACAGAGACACGGAGACACAGAGACACACAGAGACACACACACACACACACAGACACACAGAGACACACACAGACACACACACACACACACAGACACACACACACACACACACAGACACACACACACACACACACACACACACACACACACACACAGACACAGGACACAGAACATGACACAGACACAGACCACAACACAGACAACAGACACCAACACAGACACCACACAAACACACACAAACACAGACACACACACACACCAACACACAGACCACACACACACACACACACACACAGACACACCACAGACACCACCACAGACACACACCACACACACACACACACAGACACCCACACACACACACACACAACAGACAAACACACCACAGACACACACACCACACACACACAGACACACACCCAGCACACACACCACAGACACACACACACACAGACACACACACCACACACAGACACCACACGGGACAGCACACCACACACAGCACACACACACACACACACACACACACACACACACACACACACACACACACACACACACACACACACACACACACACACACACACACACACACACACACACACACACACACACACACACACACACACACACACACACACACACACACACACACACACACACACACACACACACACACAGACACACACACACACAGACACACACACAGACACACACACAGACACACAGAGACACACAGAGACACAGAGAGACACAGAGAGACACAGAGAGACACACAGAGACACACAGAGACACACAAAGACACACACACACACACACACTCTCTCTCTCTCTCTCTCTCGCACGCTCAAATGGATCCCTCGCACTCAGCTCAGAATGGCCTTGCGTGCTTGAAGCTATGCCATGCAGAAAGCCCAGTGGAAAAGGATGCAAAGGGCATGCAGCACCTCCGTTCCCAAAAGGGACATGCTGGTCAGCTCTTTTCTGGCATCTCAACTACATGTCAGATTCCAGGCCCAAGCACGCATGAATGCCTCCCTCCAGGAGAATACTATTGTTGATCAGTAGTCGCTGCTCGCCGTTCGTTGGATACCCTGCCCGCTTCCACTGGTTCAGTCCACCAAGTAGCCGACGCACCCTGTGGCTGCTACCTAAAGACGGTTCAAGGCGACAGGCACGACGTAGCTCCTGAGCAACACGGACACACCGACTTATGTAGCCCAGGCTGATGTCATCTGATCCATTGTCGCTATAGACGATAACCGTGTCCCTCAACGAGCCTCGCAAACGCTGCACCACTGAATCAGATGCCAAGGTCGCAGACAAGCCCCTTTGCATGATGACACTTCGAAGCACCGACGTCTGTTCGGAAAACGGAAGCGCCCCAGATATATGGCTCCTGTCGAACTCCTGCTCGGATCTCGCATCGAGGAAAATCGCACCGCGCTGGTATAGAGCATAAGCGGCATCAACAGTAATCTTCGCATCCTCGATGTCTCGCGCGTAGCGCTGCTTGTCTTCCTCTTCCTGTCTTCGCTGCAACTCCCGGCTACGGCTGTCGAGTGCCAAAGATTGAACATATTCCGCAGCAAGTCGATTCTTGGCGATCACGCGTCTTGTGAAGTCCGTGTCTTTAACAAGGTCTGGAGAGGCGTGCATCAAAGCTTTCGCATCCTGTCCAGCTGCTGCAAGGACCACCTCCTCATCAGCTTGGAGAGTTTCATCCACATACTTCAGCATGGAACCAGCATTGTGTACTGCTGCCAGTACAACCGCCCTATTTCGTCGAAGCTCAGAGCTGAAGTATCGAAGAGCATTTCCATTCTCTTTTGCCATGTACACAGCAAAGTCTTCATCTCCTCGTAGCTCTGCAGCTGCATAGGCAATTGCAGAAACATCTCTTTTCGCTGCTTGTTGGACCATGCCCTTGTCTGCCCTGATGCACGCCGGCGCATTGGACAACTCAAGTGGGTTGCGCTGCAGTCGGGAGAACCAGTCCACTTCCACACGAACCAGAGACAACTGGCAGACAGCCGCTGTTAGTCGGCAATGATCAGGCAACTCGCGCAAACCGTTCGCATGACATATTCTTTGTTCCAGGACAGGTATTCCATACGCTTTTTCCAAGGAGGCCTTGACCTCCCGCACAGTGGTGTTTGATGGGAGGGTGAGGTTATACTCACTGCCATCCAATCCAACAACCAGAAAACCACACAAGCTGTTACCGTCCTGGTTTTCTTCTTCGAGACGATCGAAATCAAAATCGAACATGGTCAGTGCACCAGTCCACCATACCTCCACAAGACTGCAGACTGGTTTGCAGACCCGATCGACCGTCCCGGACAGGTGCGACCGAAGGTGAAGAAAACAAGCAGTTTAAGCCGAGCGTAATCTGCCTGGATTGCCGAGGGAAGAGTATACTGCCTCCAAAAACTATCCAAAAGGTACTGACATCTGGCTCCTCGCAGCCTGACCTGTTCCAAGCCAAGTAAGCCAAGTGCAGCTGGGTGCCGGGCTTAGGTTATAAGATCCTCAACCTACAATCCTAAGTGTTTGGAGCTCGGGAATCTATCCCAATGTATCCCAGACTTCAAGGTAAGAGGCCAAGCCCCTATGCAATTTGAGAAAGAATACGGGTGCAAGGCACCAAGATGCTCCAAGCTGCACGGAGATCCGTTTTATACGCAACGGGTCAAGGTTTAGGCCCCAAGTGTTTGGCAACGGCGTGCGCAGCGTTCTTGGCTTGCTCCTCCGGGTACGGAAAAATCTAGCAGTGTCTCGTACTTCATTCGTGTTTACGCACAGAGCTCGAGGCTCGAGGTAGGTGATAGCTTCCCTCAAGGTTCCTGTGTATGGATCGGTAAGGGTTGCAAGGATTCTAGAAAATTGTGTGCAGCAGCGCACTTGGAGTGTGCACAATACTCAAGTTCCCAGGATTGAACATAATGCAGTGCTTTCAACCAACCTCTGCACTTCGTCCTTCTATGTTGCACTAACACCTGAGACATGATAAAAAAAGGTGAGCGGCCATGCAGGGGAGCACAGCAGTACAACTAGACCGACAGTGCCAAACTCTGATGTGCTGAGGCTTCTTCATCTTCTTCTCAGCTACTTGACGCCAGGCCGGAAGGAAGCATTACAAAAGTGTTACAAACCCTTGGGGCTAGGCCGGCCAGGCGGGAGAGTGAAACAAACCCAGCCCAATATATCCAAGTAAGCACATGTCTTGCCCTCTTTCTGTTTTGAGAGCATGTCGCAGGATCCTTTTGCGATACTAGTCCAGCAAGTCCACTCTCCAGGCTTCTGCATGTGATACTCGAGGCTGCATCTGTTGTGAGACCTGCTGAACCAGGTCTTGGACGTTTGAAGGATCAAGATCCCGCACGTTCTTCGGCGGAGAGGCAAAGTCAATGCTTGTGGACAGATCTTGTTGGTTTTGGCGAGCTGCAGGGGAGTTCAAAGATCTCAAGGATGCGGTAAACCAGCCCTGCCTTCTGCAAAGCGGCCTGTTCTTGGGCGAGGCGTTTCGCCTACCTGGACTCCGTGTCGAGGCCACACGTCGCAGGGAACACGCCGCTCTGAGTTCCTGCAGCTCACGCTTTATCAGTTGTACGTCAGCCTCACGATCGGTCTTTTCCTGTCCGATTCTTCCCATAACAGCATTGAGCACCACATCCTCCTCTTTGCCAGAGGCAATCTTCGACACGGCCTCTTCGCAGTCTGCAATTTTCGTTGCTGCCTGTCGGCACCACGAGTTGATGAGAACCTTCGACATGCGGGCCTGACGGACTTGCTCTTTGAGCTGGCGCATGCTGTCTTCCAACTTGTGGTCCAGGGTGCCCATGGATGCCTGCAGAGCCTCACACGCCTCACGCATCGAGTCGAATCTGTCCTCAACAGGTTGATCGGTTGGAGAAACGAGCTCACGGCATTTTGCAAGCTCTGATGAAAGAAGTAGAACCTGGTTTTCGAGATATTCTAGCCGGCGAAGAATGCCGCACTCCATCTCGGCAATTGCGGCTTTCACCTGCTGGATAGGGTCTTCACCTGCAAGCTGCAGAAGGCAAGCAATGAGACGGAAAAGCCATGCGGGCCACGCACACACCGTACCACCATTAACACCATAATCGGAACATCTTGACGATTCAAGACGCATCGAGCCTCGATCGTCGACCTTGCTCTTCCTTAGCTGCAAATGGCATTCGCAGAGCCCAGCATAGCATTCTCGCTCAAGCTCTTGTCTTGACCGACTGATTCCAAATCAAGCAGCTCTTCACCCGTTGCAGCAGGGGCGGGCCCGGCTGTTGCGGATACAGCGTCGTGGGCATCCTCCATGATCTCCCTGTGCAGTGGATGCAGCCGTTTGCATGATGCCACACGCTCCGCTGGGCAGGACGAATCTCACAAACTTGCCACCGAGTCGCACTGAGTCGGAGGTGTCACGCGGAACCTGAATCGAATCGTCAACGTGCGGCCAGTGCTGAATGATGCCGAATGCTAGTCCCACTGCTCTGCCAAGGGCCCAACCGTCTGCTCAACGTCGTGCCTTAGATAGGTGAGAACGTTCAAAGTTCTTGCATCATGTCTACAAGTGACGTCCCCACATCACTCCTCTGCATTGCCTGCAGAAGCTGTCGCAAGCTCATGATACCCCACAAGTCCCCATGCTTGGAACTGATTCCAAATCAAGCAGCTCTTCACCCGTTGCAGCAGGGGCGGGCCCGGCTGTTGCGGATACAGCGTCGTGGGCATCCTCCATGATCTCCCTGTGCACTGGATGCAGCCGTTTGCATGATGCCACACGCTCCGCTGGGCAGGCCAAAATTCGTGTCTCACAAAGTTGCCACCGAGTCGCACTGAGTCGGAGGTGTCACGCGGAACCTGAGTCGCATCGCCAACGTGCGGCCAGCGCTGAATGATGCCGAATGCTAGCTGCATTCACTAGCCGTCCCACTGCTCTGCCAAGGGCCCAACCGTCTGCTCAACGTGGTGCCTTAGATAGGTGAGAACGTTCAAAGTTCTTGCATCATGTCTACAAGTGACGTCCCCACATCACTCCTCTGCATTGCCTGCAGAAGCTATGATACCCCGTTTGGCCCCATGCTTTGTGAACTGATTCCAAATCAAGCAGCTCTTCACCCGTTGCAGCAGGGGCGGGCCCGGCTGTTGCGGACATAGCGTCGTGGGCATCCTCCATGATCTCCCTGTGCAGTGGATGCAGCCGTTTGCATGATGCCACACATGTCGCTGCGTAGGCCAAAATTATTCGTGTCTCGATGCATCTCACAAACTTGCCACCGAGTCGCACTGAGTCGGAGGTGTCACGCGGAACCTGAATCGCATCGCCAACGTGGCGAATGCTAGCTGCATTCACTAGCCTTCCCACTGCTCTGCCAAGCGCCCAACCGTCTGCTCAACGTGGTGCCTTAGATAGGTGAGAACAATCTAAGTTCTTGCGTCATGTCTACACGTGACGTCCCAACATCAGTCCTCGAAGCTATGATACCCCGTCTGGCCCCATGCTTTGTGAACTGATTCCAAATCCAGCAGCTCTTCACCCGTTGCAGCAGGGGCGGGCCCGGCTGTTGCGGATACAGCGTCGTGGGCATCCTCCATGATCTCCCTGTGCAGTGAATGCAGCCGTTTGCATGATGCCACACATGTCCCTGCGCAGGCCAAAATTATTCGTGTCTCGATGCATCTCACAAACTTGCCACCGAGTCGCACTGAGTCGGAGGTGTCACGCGGAACCTGAATCGCATCGCCAACGTGGCGAATGCTAGCTGCATTCACTAGCCTTCCCACTGCTTTGCCAAGCGCCCAACCGTCTGCTCAACGTGGTGCCTTAGATAGGTGAGAACAATCTAAGTTCTTGCGTCATGTCTACACGTGACGTCCCAACATCAGTCCTCGAAGCTATGATACCCCGTTTGGCCCCATGCTTTGTGAACTGATTCCAAATCAAGCAGCTCTTCACCCGTTGCAGCAGGGGCGGGCCCGGCTGTTGCGGACATAGCGTCGTGGGCATCCTCCATGATCTCCCTGCGCAGTGGCTTCTTGCCGCTCTTGCATACCCATTGGTGAATTGTCGTCTGGATGCCGGGGGTAGGCTATGAATCTGGAATGGGTTCCCAGGCCAAAGTGATGCAAGAATATGCAGGAATTTCAACGCAACAGGGAAGGGTTTGGGGGGCTTAGGGCTTCGCATGAGAAGTCATGTGTGTAGATGAGGAAGCGTTGGACCGGCCAGTGTGCTGTGAGGCAGAACAGGGCAGACTGGGGTTGGGCAATCAGGTGTAGTCATGCTAAGTCTAGGCGTGAAGATAAGCTGGACAGGCTAAGATCGTGGGGCACCAGGGTGGATGCCGCGTTCAAAGCCGCTGAATGTTGCATCAATCTTACCCGAGCCCCAAGTTACCGTTGAAAAGCATATGAAGACTTTCATGCCGAGCCACATTGATCTGGAGGTGCCATGCGCAGCCTGAATCACATCATCAAGGCTCGCTACACTGCTCGTCCCTGTCTTGGCAAGGCTCCGACTATCTGCTCGAAGTGCTGCCTCAGAGTGGCGAATGCAATTCGCACAAGCATTGCGAGGCTTTACACCGCTGCGAAATCAACATGCGGTGCAGATGCTCTTCAACCTCCAAAGCAGATGTGAGGTCGTCTGCGAGAAACTCTTCCGACTCTTCCGTCTCCGCTCTCTCCCTACGCAGCACACGGCAAAGATCATCATGGACGAATATTTGCAACACATGGCACTGGCTTCACACCGAGCAGCCAAGGTCCAGAGGCATCTCTCGGAAACGCTTCCTGTGCTTCCTGCGCTTCCTGCGCTTCCTGCAGGTGAATACGAGGAAGAAAGTCTCTGCGTACCGAGATCTGCTCCCAGCGTGCTCCTTGCGACTGGGTAGCATCCAAGGCAGGCCTTCTAAAAGTTGCGGCTACTTGTCTGATGCGAGGTTTCGGCACGCTGGTAGTGCTGTGTAGTGCAGGTCATAAGGGAATGGGCACAACATGGCACAGCTGCTTAGGTAGGGCCTGGTAGGGGCTCGTTGGTGAAGTTCGGGTATGTTCCGGCTGGTTCCGCAAGACTGCGCTCTCCAAGCAGCTGATCTTCCACAGCACACTTGTTCAACAGGAGCATAGCAAGCATGCCTGCAATTTTCGCAGAAGCGGGTGGAACCCATGCGAAGAGCAGAACGCTTTTCCGCTGCCGCCGAGCGTGTGTGAAACAAACGCCTTCCACCTTCTCAGGCCTGACAAGGCCTCATGCTTTCTCAGATACCTCCGAGCTCAACACAGGATGCAACGCAGGTCTTGTGGCCACTGCTCGGAGCTTCAGGATCGCCTAGGCCTACACTTTTTCCTGACCGATCACGTTTTCTACATTGGTTTACATTTGCACAGCATCGGCCCATCTTGTACGGTTTGCACTGCAGAGAATGGCTCGAGCTTCTTTCCGGCCTGCAGCTCGGAATCAAGCTTCACCGTCACTACCTGACGCGGCCAGCAGTCTGCTCATCAACGACTAGCAACTCCTAGCAGCTGAGCGCCTTCCGGTCGTGTGGCTGTCCTTGCAACATGCGCAAAGTACAACCAGATGCCCATGATGCCCATTCTGAGTTGGCACAAGCCTCTGAAAAAGCTGAGCCCAGCTTCGCTTAAGACTCGTACCGCTTCGAAGGTTCGGCCGGGCTGAGCTGTCTGATCTGGATCTTTGCTCCTGCGCAGAAACAGCATCCTGAGCTGCCGTGTAACATGCTGAGTAGCAGAAGAGCGCGGAGAGCGCGATCCCTCCTAAGTGCTCGTCCGAAGTCTGGAAATTGTTCGGTTGACCAGCGGTTGAACAGATCTCGGGCCGAGTAAATGAAGGTCCGGAGCCATCCAGGAGGCCTAGGGCCTAAAGTCCCACAGAATGAGCCCAGTTTTGTCTCGCTGATGTTTAGCATGCTAACTTGGGGCCAGATGCCTGCTCTTGCATATTGATCGATTGATTGCCTGTGGGCGCGAACGCCCTTGCGTTTGCAAGGAAGAGCATACTTGCCTTTAAGTCTGCTCAAGCATACCTACACTTCTTCAGCACATTGGTGCTTAAGGAGCTGTACACTCGTCAGCGTTCTCTCGTGGAGTGAGTGAGTGTGAACATGTCTCAGCACAAGGACTCCTCACTCTCGTAGTCGTGAGAGTCGGCATGAGCCTGCCAGTCAGGATGATGTTGCACACTCCTCCAAATACCCGAATGGCGTCGTGTTGCCTCCTGGTCATTGTGGCGAGCTTCCTTTCGCAACGAAATTCCAGCACAAAGAAGACTGAAGAGCATCAGTCTAGTCTGCATTTCTGCAATCTTCTGCGCTCTGCACCTTAATGTAGCTGTCAATCAGGTCATCCGTGTGTCCTGCACTATGCTTCGCTATGCATTGTAGAAGAGTACGTCACAACCATGGGCTCGTGAAAAAGGCGTGCGAGATCGTATGAGCAGCAATGTCAGCAAGCACCGTGGCAACGCCGCAACAGGGCCCTCGGCAGGCCTCGTCCACTTGACACAACCGCCTGCCACCAATCTGCAAAGGATCCATGACATGTTTGAGGACACGATTCGTGCCAGTGGTACCGTCGCATTGACCAAGAGCGTGGACAGGATGGCTGCCCTTAGCTGCTCCGCCCAGCTTGTGCACCGGCAAAGACCGGTAAAGGACCCGCAAACACTTGCAGCCATGATGGCCATGCTCAGGCTCGAGCAAAGCCAAGCGAACAATTGAAGTTGCCTTGAGAAAGAACCATCAACACTGGGTGCTGTCGGCATGGGCAAACGCAAACCCGAACCCCCTTTTTTCAACGCTCGGTAAATGCGGTAAGCAGCTAGCACTGCGTACCTTGCGCTGCTGAGACTCGAACCATGGCGACCAGGGCTTCGTTGAGGCAGGTCGGCCGGGAGCTCTGTGAGCCCTGCATGATTAGATAGCGGGCCAGAGAACAAGCCACTAACCAAGCCCTCCACCACATGGTGCAGGCTGTGTCAAGTGAGTCTTTCTGATGACCCAAGTTCTGAAAAATGGTCCTGCTGTCGAGTGCAGCAGAGTGAAACAGAACTTGGCAGCCCGAACTTGCAGTAAGCATCGCAAGTCTGGGTACACAAGCTACATCGACGGTTACCCAATATTTTTGTACAAGTTCCACAGCCCGTGGTCTGGTGTCGTTTCAGTCGATGCAGAATAGCTCGCTTGCCTTGGCGGTGTGAACAGTTGCTGCAGGCATCTCACTCTCTCCTCTCTCTCTCGCGACTAAACCAGATTCATTCACATCCTGATCCAGAGCTTAGTCGAGTCATCTCAAGTCACAACCAGGTTGCGGACCTTCCTCAAAGACTCGGCCCGTGACCTGTGGACCCACACATGGAGGAAGTGGCATACGAAGCTGCCAAAGCAGCCAGCGACAGCCCGTGCGTGTCACAGAAGGCCTCTTGGAGAGTACTTCTTGCGCACCTTGCTCACATGCCGCTTGGCATAGAAGTCCCTGGCCAGATTTGTCAGGACTTTCAAGAGCAGAAGGCTGACTCCCTGTCCCAGATACCCCAACAATACACTGCCAGGTTGACGAAACTGGCCGAACCTTCTCGCTCTTCACTGGCTGAGGGCGTCCTAGCTAAGCAACCCTTGTCAAATCGGGTCAAGAAGTGAGGCTGCAAATGGGGCAGCACAGCTCTTTGCACAAACTTCAGTCCAGGAGGGGACTGCGGCTCCCCCTTCTCCTGCTTGTCCTCCGGTGCTGTGCAGACATGGAAGCTGCCTACTACTGGCTGCCCTCAGCTATAGCAGCTATGCCTTGTCAGACCAGGCACCATCATATCTTCTCCTCGCCAAGTCCGCTTGTGCTACAAGGTGAAAGCTCTGAAGTTTCCTGAGCCCGCGGCACCCAGAAAGGGTTCAAATCCTTTGGCGGATGCCACGCCCAGGTTCCACCGGCAAAGCCGACCAGAAACTCCCTGCGCAAGGCTCTTGTGTTTTGTCATGGCCTTTCTTGGCTAGATTGTTTTCATGAGTAGTCATGCTGCGCCCCTGAGTGCGCTGTTCTCTTCTCAATGAAAATGACAATTGCTTTGGAGTTCGTCCGCACTGCGGGTCCGCAGACCGAAAAACAAGTCAGAGGGATTTGAACCTTTGGCTCAGAAACTGCCCTGGGAACTCCAAGACACGTCATGGGAGGAGATGCTGGGGGACGGGTGGCTCCGGGTCCTGGACAACAAGAATCCTGGCCCGGAAGACTCGGAATCTCATGCGAAAAGAAAGCCGTGGATCTTGAAATTCTGAGTGTCTCGTATTCTATTGGAGTCTTGTGCTAATCTTTGCAAATCCCACGCCTCAAGCAAGTCAAGAAGATGAACGCGCCACTCCAGACAATCAGATGGCCCTTGACCTCAGCGCGAGCGAGTGCAGACCTCTTCCAAGTTGTCAAGATCACTACTGGCAGGGGCGAACTGAGAGCAACACTCGCGTGTAGGTGTCAAATTTCGGCTGCTCAGAGTGCCTGCCGGATGACAAACCGGCTTGCTTCGAGTCTGCCCTCTACGCCGCTACACGCGCATCTGACTCTGACATCCGACGAAGGGCGTGAACTGACGATTCACAGCTCGCCATTCAGGAGACCTTCCATGATGCCATGTTGATACTTTTGGAGTCATTTCACCATCTGACTTACGTATACATACTGACATTTGCTGAGTGTTGCTGAGTCATCTGGCGTGAAGTGCGGGTGCCATGCTGCTTGCGACGTGCCATTGCGAAGACCTGACACGACACGTTTCACATGGCCCCCTCCACTCTCCCCCCAAGAACCAAATCAACCAATGTGCCTAGATTGAGGTCTGCTGTAGCGGTTGGCGCACGTGCCACTGGCAAAACCTGGTCATGCTGTCATGCTAATGACACAAGCCCGAGTTTGGCAATCTGCGATGCAACACCACTTCAAGACTTCACCTGAGGCCACAGCTCCTGCTTCAAGGAGCTTGAGAGCCTGCACACTGCAGAAGCTCGGGGCTGTGGCGGTGCACGTTCAGTGGCGGGAAGCTGCAGGAAGCCTCGTCGAACTCAGTGCTGAGCTTGACAAAGTTTTTCTCAGCTTCTGCTTGCCGCTCACGCGGGGCTAGATCAGGATGCTGCTCCTCAGAAGTTACTGCTTGCAAAGGACGAAGAAACATAAAGAAACTGCAGCATCGCTCGGCGTCGCTCGTACGATCTCAAGCACGGCTGAGCCTTGGCTTTGTCTCTGTACGCGGCCTTGAGGACAGAGATAGCAGACTTTGACTCCTGAAACACATGGCTCCCCAACAGAACAACTGAGCAGTCGGTAGGAATTGGCTCCTGCTTGGAGATTTCGACTGGACAAAGGCCGAAGCCACGCAGCCTCAACAAAGCTGGGCACTCAAGCTCGGCACGCTCTGCTTGCACCAATACTCATAATACTAACTGCACTGATGATACGAAGAATACGAAGAAAATAATAATAATACTAATACTACTAAAAATACTGATAATACTAATAATACTGATAATACTAATAATACTAACAATACTAAGAATACTAATAATACTAAGAAGCCTAAGAATACTAATAATACTAATGATACTAATCATACTAATAATACTAATAATATTTTAATACTAATAATACTAATAATACTAATAAGACTAATAAGACTAATAATACTAATAATACTAATAATACTAATAATACTAATAATACTAATAATACTAATAATACTAACCTGGCCAAGATACAAAGACGACAAGCGGACTGCCTGCAGACCTTGCAGCATGAGGAGCCACCAACAGTACTACAACATCACATCTCCAGGTCACGAGCTGGCACGCATGAGGACCAGCAAACATCGGAGCCACTCTACGAGACTGAGAAGCGGAGGCTTGTGTACATACTTATGTACATGGCTGTTCGTAAAGCCTATCAAGTCTCCACATCGGGAGTCCATGTGACATTGTGCGATCACAGAATGTGAGCTACACTGGCGTTCATCTTTTCCGCTGCTTGCTTTCTTCATTGTCACCTGCTCATGGGTGACCCAGCTGGCTTGAGGCGAAACGTCCATGGAGAACTCATCAACTGAGAAAGTGACATGCAACCAACATCAACCAAACCCAAAACTGCAAACACAATTCTCCACTTCGAACATCCCCCACCCTAAAGCTAAGCGTTTTGACTGACACTTGTGGCACTTCAGACTTCGGGCCTACTTTGTGGGATGTATGTTATTTGGGATACCCGGGGCCTTGCACATCCAGGTCTTCTCTGAAAGATTCTCCGGGTCTCTTCAGGGGTACCGGGGAGGATTCCTCGTGGGCAGAGATGCGGTGATTTTGCGTGGTTTGCGGGAGTCTTGCTAGGACTCAGTGGGTTCGCTGGGGCAAGAGACCTGGCAAGGATGAAAGCTTAGCATATCGTATCTCAAAACCTAACTTTTAGCCAAACCCAGTCGCGCCAGTCACTCAGACTTGTACTGTCGGTCGAAGGCTGGACCCAGTTACTCAGTGTCTGATTTCAAAAAGACAATCCGCCAACGCGGGCCCAATCCTTTACTGTCCAGATTCCCGTTGCGTAGTGTTCCACTCTGCTTCGTGATCTCGCGTGGGGCGCCCGAGATAGTCAACCAAACAAAGAGCGCACGACAGGACCGTTCCGGCACCAAGGACCACGCTGCAGCATGACTGACCCCTCCGCAAGTCTCCTCCTACGCAGCTCCTTTGCTCCTTTGCGTTTCGTGATCAGTCTTGGGTGGCAGCCTATTTCGTCAAACAGCAAGCATGAAGCTCAGCTGGACGTTTTGCGTTTCTTCGGCAGCAGCACTGGCGGCACTAAAGGACAAGGAACATCAACAAGTGTGTGTTGACAGCACCTTGACCGATTCTTCTGGTAACATGTCTCATGCTGTCTATCAAGTTCTACTAAAGACGGGCTGTTCATCGATTTTCTTCGCCACGTGTCCTGCATCGCAGTCGATGTCTTCGGAACTAGCTGACCTTGTGGCTTCCAATGCCCTCGGAATTGGAGACAGATTCAGGCAGCACTTGATTCTACACCAAGAAAAATCCCATGGCTAACTCCCAATGCAATTTTGAAGTGCTGCACGAAGCTGTAGCCCTGTTATCCGGTTCATCCAGCTATGAACAGAGTAAAACAATCGGTCGGGCACGAGCCAAGCTAGCCTGAGGATATGTTCTTACTTCAGTTTCGAAGCATACCTCAGCGGCCTGAGGCAAATGATGGACATGTTCAACATCTGCTTTGTGTGGGCGCCTAGGGCACTGACTGAGCATTAAGCATGCTCGTGACCTTCCTCAGAAAATACATGCATAATTGCGTATGGTGGGACAAGCACCTAACGCTTCAGCAACTTCTTATATACATGTGTCTTGGACAGCAAAGAGGAACTGCAAAAATTGCTTTGCATGCTCCTGAAGGTGTGCAGCATGTGGAGCTTGAGATCTTTGGGTTTCATAATGCTGCATGTGCACACAAGCTTTCCCTAGGCATGAAGCTGCAGCGGCTTTCCACCGAGCTTCTTTCAGACCTATGTATTGGAGGCAACAAACGCGCACGGCTGGAAGGATGGCAGGCGACCTTCGGAAAGAGTAAAGCTTTAGGGTTTACGGCTTAGGGTTAAAGATGCACTTGCAAAGTTTTCTGCACCTGAGACCGGGGTCTGGGCTGTACTCGTCGTCTGCAGTTCCATGAGACCAAGCTGTGATGAGGGCTCATCACCTGCAGGACCTTGGAGATCTAGGATGTTGCTACAAGTTGCTGCAGGCCCCGCTTTGTTCTGAGGATCTCCGTCAATCTTCGAGATATGGGGCTCGAACACCAGGCGCCAAAGAAACTGCCTGAGCTCCTCTGGTGACTCGGCGCCTGAGTGGGAAACGTCCTGCTTTACCTGGAACTCAAGATGCACAGTGACAGTCAGCTTCTGGCGCAAGCTGGCAGTGGTGCTGCCGGCACCGACCTGCAAGGATGAAGCATATCTTGAGAAGCTGTGTGCCAGTGTTCAACTTGTAGACATGCTCTTACTATGGCTGGCAGGCAAGGGTGATCTCGCCTACAGTAGTACAGTGAAGCAAAGCGAACCTGAACATCTAAAGTGGGAAACCAGAGCGTCACATGTCGTCTCCGGCCTTGATGGTAAGGAAATCTCGAGGGGCCGCCTCAAACCTTAGTGCATGCCCTGTGGAGATCACAGCTTCGCCAAAGCCTTTGCCGCAACCCTCTGCAAGGCTAAGTGGATCGCATTGTCTCGTCTGAGACGTCATCGCCAGCAGCAAGAACGGCAGAATATGGCCTCAGCTATCCAAGGCCGAGCCAACCAACCCGTGAATAATTCTTGTGATGTCCCAGTATGGCGGCGCATAGCGTCCTAGCTGACGCTCGGGCTTTCCAAACAGAGCCTTCTCCTCACACAATCGTCTCATTACCAAGCCTGTCAAACGGTGGTCTTGCCAAGAATTCCAGACTGCACACGGCTGCTGCGTAGCACTTTTCAGTGGAGTCTTGACCTAAAGCTATCTAAAGCTCTGATGATACTTGTACCTTCAAGCATGAACAACACAAGGCCTTTCCGAACATTTCGGTAGGACGCCTGCAATCAAAGACAGCTTTAGCAGCATTTGCAGCTCGCAATCCCCGTATGGATTCTGAGATTGCAACCGCTTGACAACAGGCACAACAGGCACACGTGCCTCCAAGACCTTGTGGCCTTTGGAGAGGTTGATGTCCTGCACGGTTTGCTTGAGCTTGTTCGTCCAGGATGGACGCGTGCAGTGACATCTTGTGAGCCCAAAGCCCCAAAGCGCACGCTTTGCGTCATGGAGTCATGCCTGCAGAAGTTCAACCCTACGGGTGTTGTCCTGAAGCCGCTCGCGCTTACACAGCTGCTGGAGGTCTTCCCACGCCTCACAGAAAAGGATTTGCCATCAGCCATCAGCCCCTGCAGAGGAGAACCGATGCGAAGCAGCCTTTGCCACAGCCGTGTCGGCGGTGGCCTGCAGCAGGCATCGCACTAGAATTACGACAACGCATCACCTAGAAAAGAGATGGAAAGAGAGCACAAGAGTGACGTGATCCTTCATGGTCGCAAGATTCTCAGACGGCACGATGGGAAGCACAATAATGCACACAAGAACGAAGCTTGCAATCAGAAGCACAGAAGCGCAAGTTGCAGCTGTGCCTCATCTGCCAACTGTCGGTAGTGCCAAACAAGGGAAGACTGCTTCTCCTTTGAGGTCCCGAAGTGACGGGAAGCATGCTTGCATGCATGGCGCCTACATGAAGCCCTGCTGTACATGTTGCATGCTCTGGCCTCAAGACGGCTGCCCGCGTGCTGGTCTGCCAGGCGGGACATGGCTTCACCTTGGCAGGGTTCCATATCGGCATCAAGGTGCAAGCATTGCCATGGTCATTGCGCTCATGGCAGACTGGCCCTACTCCCCAAGTCAAGCATATCAATCACTGGCATGTACACTTGAGTCTATGCAAGCGGCAGCAGCCACTATTTGCATATTGCACAACGTATAGACAAAGACTGGCAGTCTGGAGTCTCTTGACATCGCAAATGTTGGCACCGGCTTCCAAACACCATGTACTGTATGTCAGAACTTTCCTGCGAGAAATTGGGAGGAGTATGGAGGAGTACAGGCCGAGAAGGCTGAGGTTCCCACGCAGCGTTGCCTTCCAATTTTTGTGCTCGGTGAAATGTTTCGCATCCTGAATGCTGTTGGGGTATACTCCACATGCAGCGCTTTCCACGGGAAAACTGCTTCATTTGCTGAGTTCTTGGCGCCACCAAAATGCTCCCAAAGCTCCCACTTGCGACATTCGCCATCTCGGCCATCTCGGAGCATTGTCAAGCACTAAGCTCACACACCCGCCGCCCGCCGTCATCGCAGACCGCTACATCAGGCAGAACAGCTGAACATGTTCCTGGCCTGCCAATGGTGGCGAGATGTGGTATCCGTGCTCCGCGATCAACGTAAACGTGTTCAGGCCTCTCAGGGTTGCTTTGACCGTGCCATGGCATGTCATGGCCATGCCGCACACCATCAGGGTGAAGGGTTAAACAAGAAACCAGGCCTGTCAATTGTTAGGATTGAGACTGCTACTCGTGCTGATTCGGCTCCGCGTATATTTTTCAGGCAACGCATTCTACGACTTGTCTGCCAGGTCTTTGGATCCTGTGCATTATCTGAGGCCGTAAAGCCTGAATCCTGAAGGCCCTGCACCCGAACCATATGCCAGGCTCCAGGCTTCCAAAATGAGCTTCCAAAAACTCAGAGCCACGGCCGCTGATGATGTGGGGCCTGCAAGGTGAGGCTATATAAACAACATGTAATACGTATGTATACAAGTATGAGATTTTGTACGAGGTGTTGTATATGTACAAATGCATACATAAAAAACACGGCTACGCGTTTGTATCTTATATCACTCTGTTCTGAATTATACTATGTATATATTTAGATCTCTCTCTCTCTCTCTGTATTCCCTAATCTATATTGTGATAAACATCAGTTGCAGACGGCATACGATATATAATGCTTTACATTTTTTTTGAAAGAAAACACAGCGAAGCTGTACTGCATAGGGGGTTAGGATTTACTATGCTATTCCGGAAGTTCTGGACTTTTTTGGGGAAAAGGGACTTCCCACGTACAAAGAAACCTCCTCACAAAGAGAGACACATACAAAGAAGCCCGTTTTAATGTTCATCTACATGTTGTGACTATACATAGATGCATATAGAAGGGACATATTCTGTTATCTGCATATCTGATGTTATATATTCACACATACATATAGAATTTATAGACTATGTAAAGAGGTCCAAAAACACATATTTTTTAAAAGAGAAAGACGCAGACTCATGATTCAAATGCAAAAAATCGACGTGAAGACGCGTTTTGTGGCAGACACGAAGACACGGATTCATTTGGCGCAGACGCACAAACGCCAAGACGCCAGGACGTGAATTTGATGTGAGGACAAGGTCTCTCTACAGTATATGAGATATTGCATATGTAAAATATGCTTACTCGGACATGCGATAACAATGTCGAATTAGTCGATAGTACCCAATGTTACATTCTCCTACACAAACTGCAAAAAATGAAATGCCATGATAAGTTCGTAACTTTGCAAGAGGTGCAAAGTTCGTAACTTTGCAAGAGGTGCAGGGACTGTTTGGGAGCTGCTGGAAAGAGACTACTAGAGCTGTGCGGCAATTGCGGTGCATACATATCCACTATACTCCATTCGGTCTACACAGCTGCAGTTTGAAGACTAGGCGGAACAGCACGTGGGCCTGAAGTCCGGACGGCTATCCAGTGCCTGCTAGACAAATCAGCTTCCACACCACGACTGGCATGTCTTGCACAAACGGATTTGAGAAAAACACCTGAAAAAATCGTCGATCCCAAGCCTTCAGGAGGCTCATCACTTCCTGTGTCGGGACCTAAGCGAGCACGCTCTTGATTTTCCAGATCTTCCCAAGCTTCACGGAGAAGAGCACTTGCTGGCAATTGAGTGACCTACCATCAGCACATTCTTAATGAAAACTGGATTTTGCGATCGAGCCGCTGCAAGCTCTGGGCTACTTTCAAACTCGCGCAAGGTCCCGTCCTTAGAAATTTGGGCGAATGGGACATGCCAAACAGCCTCAGCGCGCGCATGGCACGAGGAAAGCTGAGGCTGTTGCGTAGTCCAAGAACAAGGCCTTGGGCCTTTCAGCTTTTTCGGCTGTCCCATCACGGAGGTGCAGCTCCAACAATCATCTCCGTAGTTGCGCAGTAATGGGAATGTGCTGCGCCCCCTCCCCCAAAATCTGTACCAGTACCATCCCTCTGTGCATTGACATGAACCGAGCTCACTACGAGGTCGAATCGAAGGGCCAGAATCGCTCCAGCGCAGAGTCCGAGTCCAACCTGAGCTTTGGGTTGCAAAACGGTTGAGATGCCGACGACTGATTCTCACAAAGGCCTTGTACCAGCATACCATGTGGCGGATTGAGCATCTCAGCGCGCTGCCAAGAAAGCGGCTGCGTGGAAAGCGGCAGGAACTCTTCGGAGGATTCCGCCTTTCATGACACCATTTCAGTCCAGCTTTACGACCTTTGTAAATCAGGAGGTGAGCTGCCTTTGTTGGTGACAGCTCGACGCCGCCCTCAAGAAACTCCTGCAAGGTAGAACAGCCAGCGGCGGATTCCCACGTTGATTGAAACATCTGAATGCGAGACAGGCATTCAACACATAACTTTCATCAAAAAAAGCTGGCAGGGGTTTTCTGGAAACCTTCCAAGCTGCATCCGCGATGCCATCTTTCAGGCTCGAAACTACTCTACATGCCGGGGCCTGGTCGCTGAAACCATGCAGCAGCGGTGACCTGCCGGAACTGCTTGGCTTCAGTGGGCCCCAAATGGGTGAAGGACAAACGACCCCTAATGACCTCTATCTTGAAGATTGTCTGAGGTTTATGCTGCACTGGCGGAGAGCTTGGAGAAGTGGTTGTTCTGGAAAGAGTAGTGGTGGTGCTGCTGGAGCTTGTACCTTAGGCTGACACTCCTGAGCCCCAGCTGAAGTTCTGTCGGATCTGTGAACCAGACCACAGCCACCGTTGGATGCCGCCTGCCCATACTCACGACCCTGTTTCCGTGGAGGACTGAAAAGGTTCTAAGTCTTGTTCGTCTTTGAAGACACTGCTAAGATATCCAAGAGCGGGAGTGTCCAACATGTCTGCGCTTCTTGAGTTTGACAACAGGAGCGATTCGTGGAGGCGCATGGATATCTTCATCCCAATAAGCCGACCGTGAGGCATACACGCTGCGCGGCTGTGCTGCCATGGTCTGAAAGGAACTGTTGCACAATTGCTGAAGAGGATCGTATTTCTTGCGCACAGGTGTATCTCAGCCTGCCTTGTCTTCGCTTTTGAGTTTGGAGCTGGTGCTTTGTTCAGCAACTAGTTTGGCTCCGGAAGTCCAACGACAATGTGGTGCAATGGCATGTGCCCGGGTTAAGTCTTGGTGGTGTGGTGGCTACAACGTTCAACATAAGAAGCAGTTCAACATCGTCGAAAAGAAACATGTCAGAGCATCTTTGGACATCTTCACATACCATGCCATGAATTCGCTTGAGGTCCTCAGCCAGGCTTCCCCCTAACTAGGAAGTCCGGAAGCCCACGATATCACGAACGATCGGGTACTCAGCTACGGGCATCCAGCCTCGCAGACCTGCAGCTGACCGACTTGGGCTCCAACACCTGGGGTGCAGACGATGATGTGTTGTCCAAATTACATACCCTCAGCTCTTGGAGCGCTCCATGTTGTGCCGAGGCGTCGGCACTTGGTGCCTATGTAGGTACTCATCATAGTCTCTGGCCGCAGGCACCTCACAGCTGCTCGTGCCCGCAGGCTGTTGCGCGAAACATAACCACCTTTTTGGACCCGCGAGACGCTGCACCACAACATCTGCCTTTCGTATTTTCGAATGATAGCAACATGAGTCGTGCGCATTCCGCCGCAACATCAGATAGCCTGTTATGCCACATTCAATATAAGAGTTCCACGACCCAGAGTGCCACGTCACGCCGCGTTCCCATCACCTCCAGCTTCATGTCAATCGGACCTTCTCGGAAGAACACATCCCCGGGCTTCAGTAGACGGTCCCCAAGCCCACCTCGCACGTGCGCTCCACGGTGCACCACAAACAAAGCTCGTGCAAAGGGTATACGCCCAGCCCAGGATGTTCCGGCTGCCAAGTCTAAGTTGTGGACGTTCGCCCCGGGTCTCTCCTTTGTCAACCGCAGCCCTGGTGGCAATCTGGACGAATCCGCTTCAATCCTCACACGCTTCGTTGCTGGAGCGTCGTTGCCGTCACTCTGGAAACCAGCTAACTCCACATCGAGGCACATCATTACTGGCGGCCCTTTGTTGTGGATCTTGTGAGTCAGCAAGCAGTTGCCATGATCACCATAACGAACTTCGCCACAACTCAATGTGTCATCCTTCGCTTCCTCGTTGAGCTTGGTCCCTTGCACTTTGGCGGCAGTGAAGAAGAAGTACAGACTGTCAAAGCGATGAACGTGCATCAGAGTGGTGTCTCCTGGTGGATTCTCGACGCGGAAAACCCGCACATGTTCGTTTGAAAAGGCCAACCAGTGACGAGGCTCTTCGTAGATTTCCACCACTGGTTTCAGCAGCAGTGGATCCACATACTCTGCAGCAAAGTCTGCTGCGATTGCCGATGCTGAGCTGTCACCCATCATTCCGAGCGCACGTGCGCGCGTGGCATCCATGTTCTGGTGAAAAGTTGACAACTTCGCACAGAGCTCCGCATCTGGCTCGTAGCTGATGCTGCCCAGCATGGAAGGATCCTTCACAACGCTGGCCAAGGACTTCTGCAAATCTTGCAATGTTACGGACAAGGATGGCATGTTCATACACCTATCGATAGACTCGGCAAACGCTGCTGCAGGCAGGTTGGCCAAGTGAATCAAGTTCCTCACCAGGACGCGGTAACCACAGACTGCATGTCGCATGTCCGGACGCAGCCTCAAAACAGCTGGTCGTCCTCGCAATGGTTCCCGAAGAACGTCTGAAAATGCTGCCGGGAGTCCAGAGTTGGGCTCTGGTCGAGGAATGACAGTTGGCAGACGAGCTACTCGGCCATCCACAAAGCCACGTCGTGTGAAATCGTTGATTACCAGCTCCATGCAAGCCTTTGTCATCCCGTAGCTGGTGTGAGGCAGAAGTTTTGTGGTGTCCATCTCAGGACCTTCCGGCCGTTCTCCGAAGCACGCTCCTGAGGATGCAAAGATCAATTTGCAATCCCGCCGAACCCGACATGGCTCAAGCAAGTTGCGGGTTCCTTCGACATTGACTTTCCAGCATATGTCAAAGTCCTTCTCACCTTGTCCGCTCATGACTGAGGCCAAATGAAAGACCACAATGCCGTCTTCGTCAAAAAGAGACTTCACCTCATCGGCGTTAGTAATGTCTCCCACCCGAATCTCGATGCGAGAATCTTCCGGCAGGTCCTTTGGAGGGGAGCCAGCATCGAAAAGCACAAGCTTGCGCACCACGTGTGGGCTCTCATCTGCACCAACCAGTTCACCCACAGCCAGGATTCGCTTGCAGACATGCAGGCCGAGAAAACCAAAGCCACCCGTGATGATTACCTTCATGGCACGAAGCGGACAACAACCAACTCTGGTGCAAGTCACACCGCATTTTGTCTTAGGATGTCTTACGGTATTTAGATTTCATGCTATCAGGTGGCAAGTGAATGCTGCTAGCTCGAAATTCATCTTGCAGGCGCCTGTAGACCCTGAACACACTGAGCTGTACACTATGACAGCAAGGCAGCTTTGGCGCATGCTCAAGTGCTTAAGCAAAAGGGTTCTCTGATGCCGGTCGTAGTCATGGCCCAATCTTCGAAGGTCCTGAAGTTTCCGCTGCTCGTGCTGGCCGATGCTCGTGCTCGACGATGAAGCAGACTTCGCTGTGACATGCACACACAGCAGGACAGACGCAACTTCCAGAACTGGAAGGAGACTTCGTGAGAATGTTGCTCTTATCAACAAACAGCTATTCATTCTATGCTCTAAGGCTACCGGTGCCACGAACACTCGACTTGTCCAGCATACCCGAACTTGCTACAAACAGGGAACTGTGAGGATTTCACGTGTGCAGTTGGTGACTGAAACAAGACGTGAACTTTGCGTTTGTGAATCGGGCTTTCAACCTGAGCCGTTTAATTCGGCGAAAGCCTACAACCGAACCATTTCACGAGAAACGGAATCATGCACGCCCCGGGTGCCTCTCTGTCTTGGGAATGGCCGAGAAGTGCCTCTCAAGAACATGGTTTCAGACTTGTCGAGGGGTCACTGTACACTGCATTTTTTGGGCATTGGCATTGAGGCTTCAGCCGTTACAGCTTGACAAAACGCACATTAAGAGGCATGTACTCTAATGGTATTGGTGTACTGCCGCGTCGTAGTTGTCGTGCTGGATTGTAAGTACAAGGTCACGCACATGAACACAATGTTCGCTTGCTGTTTGTGAGCTGCCCTTTCTCATGTGTGCAGGCAAATGTAGTGAAGTCCTCAGTTTAATGCAAAACACAAATGTGTCAGCTTAAGCCGAAGTACCAAGCAAACGTTGCTGAGTTCAAGGCAATGGAACATTTACTGGTACTGACATATTGACGCGAACCAAGACTACTCTACTGCCCGGGTGGATCTGTGAATTAAGGTCAGGGAAGGTCATCAGCGCAACTTCGTGCTCAAATCTAGAACGAAAACAGGCCGACAGCAACTTTTTGAATCGAGCTGAAGCTCTCAAGGAAGGGGCCAGGGATTTGCAGCAGGTAACGTACTGTTGCTCATGGTGCAGGGACTAGAAATCAGGCCTGGAGCAGATAATCATTGCAATCTATTGCAAGTTCTGTCTGCCTCAAGCTATTCTCGGCCGAGGTTGAACAAAGACCAGGCATGAAACCGACTTCCTGCCGCAAGTCTGCCAGTCCCTTTTGGAGCTTGACATTATCCAGGCAGGCCACTTCGCGGTGACCCATTTGGAGGCTAACGCCACGGTGCCTCTTTGGAGCTTGCTTCTTTGTCAATCCCCAGACAGACTGCAGGTGGTTCAAAACAAGAAGTGGGCTCCTGAATTTTAACGGCCTTGCCTAGTCATGACTGGACACCTGTGCAGGCTGCGTCCCCTTTGTTCCATCTGTAGCACTCACTGTGCAGAAGAGCCACCAGCAAAGCCTGCAACACCGTAGCAGACAAGTCAGACAAGTCAGACAAGCCCTCAAGCAAACCCTAACTCTTCTGGGCCGGTCTTCCAAGCGCCGGGAGCCACGCTCGCGGATAACTTCTCCCATGTGTTCGTCACAGCGGACCTCGGCATCTCTGAAAATACCTTCGTGCGTTTAAGGCCAAGGCGTGCCACTGTGATGGAAAGGTCGTGGCAGCAATCCCGTCCGGGAGCCGTCACCCTTGTCTTTGACGGCTTTGACCTTGACATGTCGGTCTTCACGACTTGGCGGACATTTCCGCAACGGTTCCGCAATGGTGAAACGTGGCGGGTGATTGAACATGTGCGGCCAGCTCTGGTCGGAGTAGGGCCCTGTGCGAGCACGCAAAATTCTTCGAAGCTGACGGCACCATTGCCGTCATGATCCACCGCCTCAGAATCGCGAAAGCATGCTTAAGTACTAAGCGACATGGATTGGGGCCAGAGGGCAATGTGAAGTGGACCAACCTCGCCTGGAAGATCTCCGCTACATCCTCATCGCTGACGTCCTGCCCAACGAAAGGAGGTCATGGCGATAGCACAGTGGCTCAGCTGTGTGACAAGTCCTCGGCCATTAACTTCAAGGCTTGCTTCAGCTCGCTTACATCAATCCTCGGTGTCGCTGTCTCGGCATGGTCCCGTCCAGAATGAAATTTCCTAGTCTGAGCCTGCCATTCCCATCCGAATCGAAGAACTTGTACGCCTTCTGCATCTGCTTTTCAGTCCTTCATCCGCAAGCCACTGCAATCTCAGACCCAGGTCGGCAGAGCATGCCAATCGTAGCACCGGGATGGCCCCACTCTCATCACACACAGGTGGGGCTGAATGGAATATAGCTGCGGCTTGCGGTGTTGAGTTGGACAGGCCAGCGGCTGGCCGCAGAACAGCGCTCGACAAATTGCCACTGCCTCAATGCCCCCCCTCTACTGACATTTGACTCCTGTCTACTCTGGTGGTCTAAATCCACAAAAAAAGTGTCTCCCCCCGTGGATGATCGCCAAGCTTTCCGCCATGGCTTCGCTATATCCGGCCGCCACCATGTTGTTCAAGATGGCCTGCATGGGCGTTGCTGAATCTGAGCGATCCTGCATCAAGAGGTTTGGGTCTGATAGGCAGATGCAGGTACAGAGCTGTTTTGCACACTGAGTGCAACGCGCCAGCTTTGCGCATTTCAAACGGGCCTTGGTTGCTTGAACCCTCCGAACAGGAAACCTCATTGAGTTCCTGAGTCCAGGCATCGTTGGGCACATGGCTCAAGCCCGGCAGGTTGGCAGACCAGGCGGTGGAAACCGCAGACAAAGCTTTTCCAGTTCCTGCCCAACGCGCTGCTTACGGGCATTCATTCAACGCTCCACCCCGCAAAAAGACTCACTTTTTGCTGAGACCATGGCCGGTTGCCATGGAACCCACGGCACCCCCCACAGCTTCAAGGGTACCCTGGCTCTCTCTTTGCAGGGAGTTGGCAGGCTACTGCTACTGTAGGGCCTGTCACACAACTGATGCAAGTGGTGAGGGCCTCGGCTGAAGACCTGAAAGCAGCGAAGGCATCGTGGTCTTCACCTCACTTCGCCGAGTGGCAAGACACGATGACAAGATATCCCGAAAGCCTCACTGTAGGGTGAGACACTCAAGTTGCTCCGCCCGTACTTTGTCAATGAACCAGGCCAACGAAATCTAGCCTTGACATTGCGCGGTCTTGAAGCAAAGCCTCCGCTACAATGAAACAGAGCACTCCCAGACTATCCACATTGCGCAGCAGACCTTACCCTCAGACTCCCCAGAAAATCCCCCCACCCCCTCCCATGCACCCCTTACCCCACCGCAGTCCTTGCCGAACTGCTGGGGTGTTGAGCTGAAAGCGGGTAGTGTGTGTGTGTGTGGACACACTCCCACCTCACCACACTTCACCCCCCCACCTCACCACATACAGTACCTTTCCATCACGGCCCACAGCATTTCCTGCTAAGGCCAAACGAAACTCAAGTCTAGCTGCACTAGCGTTCGCAATGCATGAGACTTGTCAAGTGTTGCCATGCTCGACCACAATGTACTCTCAGCTTCGACACTGCCTTCCTCGCTGTTCAAGCCTTTCACCTGCCGAAGGGGTCGACGCCGAATCTATTCATAGTCATCCCCAAACCATGTGACCAAGGCTTGTGCTAAGAAGCAGAACTCCTCGAAATCCAGCAAGCCTTGCTTATCCTCGGCACTGGAGAAAGGGGCTAAGTCTTCATGCTCTGAGAATCAGAATCGTTGTCCAGACGCGCCTTATCTACGAGATCGAAAAGATCGTCGATCTTGGACTCGGGCACCTGTATGATTACGTGGGAAGCTTCCAACTTGAGCTCCAGGCTGCTAGTTTTATTCACGGCTCTCAGGTGGACAGGTGGGGATAGGGAAAGGAATGAACGGACAAGGCACGTCCTCGCCCATGAGGGGCAAGGCCTGCCGCAGCTCTGAGGATTCGATCCAATTGCTTTGGTCCTCAGGTGATGAGGCGCTACATCCATCAACGTACAATGAAGCACTCCATTTTGTCAACAAATCGAAAAAGTTCTCTCAACAAAATGCGACTCTACTCTGAAATTCGTGAATTAGGCGAGTCCTGGTCGAAAAGCTCAAAAGCTTTCCGAAGGTCTCGCTCCTTCTGCCGGAAAAGTGCGCGACAAAGGGTGAGGGCCTTACAGAGGCGGAGAGTCTGTTCGGTCAATCGAATTCCTTCGAGTATCTTCGAGTGCTGCCAGCTCAGGTTGCAGCCCAGTCGTCGGCATAGCCAGCATTTCGCATCTGCTGTACAACTTTGACAGCCTGGCAACTTTACAGATAGTGCAATCTCTCGAAACGCACTCTAACTCGACATTGCTATTCCCGAAAACTTCTCTGGATGACATCATTGCTCTTATACTTGTCATTTCTCTCGGCGATCCAGAGCTCTTGTTTCCGGCTCAGGAATCCTCACAGATCCTCACAGGAGAGTTCTCAGATCCAGAGGATCCCGCCGAGAACCCCTACAGAATCCCCATTGAACCCATGGGGTGCCCACCCAGAGCTGAGAATCCCATAGTAGAGAATGGCTAGTAATTCGTGAATACACAGAGTTCAAGGAAACCCTGCAGAGAGTCCTTGGAGTGATGGGAGTGCAACCACACAGGAGAATTGCTGGCCAAACTCTATCCCTTTCCAGTCCTCAACATCCCCTGCCTCGTACCTCTCTGTCCACCCCCCGCCCTCCCTACTTCCCCCAGCCCCCCACCTTTGCTTGTTTTCTTGTTTTGCCCCTCCCACATTTGGGGTGCTTGGCCTATACATGAGCCTGCGCGTTACGACAGGACCCCAAAAAGGAATGCTCGAAGCATCTCAAAGCCCTCACAACCGCCATCTCCGGTTTGGGTTGCCTGCCCACACAGCATCAAAATTATAAACACAATGACGCTTGACATGTTTTAGGCAGTCTCAACTCATATTCAGTTTAAGCTTGCTTGGTGGGACCATGCAAATTCGTAGCGATTTGTCATGGTCTTAGCTTCTTCCTTTGTCCTCGTTGCCAGTTTCTATGTGCTTCAGAATCTTGATCTTGCGTCTTTGTCTCGTTCAGTTTACATGATTTTCTGATCACGCGTAAAATCAGCCTGGTTCTAGCACAACGCGCACAATGTCATGTGCAACCGTACTGTTGAAATGACATGTCAGCATATTGTGTTTAAACTACAGGATACACATCGTGAATACATTAAGACTACTCTCAAGGTTTCTGTAAGAGAAACCGTTCCCAAAACAATAGCGGTTGTATATGCTGCTTTCTTTGTCATGCAAAACACCTGTATCTTGCAGAACTGTGCAAGCAGCACTCAGCAGTCACGACGGCATATCATTTAGCAAAAGAGCGTACACATCGGCACTGCTTTGATGCATGGCCCCAATCAGCGATCTGCATATAACCTGTTGGTTGCTTTCCCGATTCAGATAGAATATGGTTTTCGGGGGGGTTGTTTTTTTTCGGGGCTTTGAGCATTTTCCCACGGTTTTGAAGGAACCCATAGATTGAAACCCATAGATAGAGTATCTCAAAGAGTCCCAAAACCCATAGACAGAATTTTTTCGGGACCCCGAAAAAACGCCCGTTTTCGGGCCCTCCTGCACACATATTCTATCTACGGGTTTCGAGCTTCGTGGCTCTTTGACGGGGCGTCTGTGGTCTGCGGCTCTACAAACACACGCAGGCGGGCCTTGACTGCGGTATTTTGACGACCAAGCGCTTTGGAGACCACTGTGTAGGTGTCCAACCTTGGCGGGTCCACTTGGTCAGTTCTCTGAACTCGGGACGCCCGCTATCCCCTATTCTTAGGCGAGCACAGCTTAGGGAGACTGACCATGTGGCAAGCTCAATAATTGACCGATTGTACATTGTACAGCAGCCACCAGCCATTGCGGAAAGCTGCCAGGCTCCAGGCAGGATGAGCGCTTTCTCGAGAATCTGCACGCACGACGATGAGACATATTCTGCTCTGCAGCTGGCAACGGAACCCGGGCCGATTAACAATACGTAGAGAAGACAAAAGGGCTGATAGCTGTGAGAGATCCAAATCGTCTGACTCAAGACTCAATGTCAAGACTTTGTCTCCATGTAAAGCCCTGAAAGTTGCGAGAGGCTACGCAACAGACTTCTCAATTTGGCCTCACTCTCGCTTTCGTCGGCCCTGCGTAGGCGGCCTCACGCCGACGTCATGTCATCTCGCGCTTCCCGCTTGGTTGCTCATTTACCACCCACTCATAGCAATCATCACAGCTCTTCCCACCCCCTTCTAAGCGATGGAGGGGATGCTCCTAACTCTCTTGCGGCACGACTCAGGCCGCTGCATAGCGCATGATACGCTTCTGGTCTGAGAGCAACTTGCACAGGATGCAAGGCCTGTGCAAACCGGCAGCCTCAATGCATGTCGGAGATCCAAACGATGTGACGGGATGTGACGGGATTCGAACAGAGCTGCACGAACCCAACACAACCGGAATGGCCTCATCTTTTCGCTGCACTCCGCTGGACGACGGTGCCTGCAATTGACTCCTCTAGCAGTATTCAGAACGCAAGGGCAAAATGTCACAAAGAGCTGGCGCTCCAGGAATTCTTCTGCCATCGCGAGGAACGTCGGCCGTCTGCAGTGCTCTGAAAAGAAATGACTGAAGCATGGCATAGTATAGTTCTAGATGAATCTCCATGCACAATGATGTTCACAGGGCAGTTCCGGGCAGTTGCCGACTCTCTGCAAAGACTTGGAGCTAAGAGATTGACTCCTTAAAATGGCTGCAGGACAAGGCCGGCTAAGACGGCTGGTCGGATGCACGGGTGACGGTCGTTCATGCGGCTCTTTCAACACAAGGAGCATAAGGTGCCTCCCCTGGTTAGGCGATTGAAACGACTTTGCGAATCGCCTCTTGACACCTATCTACATTTGCCTTGTTGCTGCTCGCGGCAGCGTGTAAACGCCCTGAGCAACTGCATTGTAAGAATGTCAAAAGATAATTTGCTCCACTGGTCGAGATACTTTGTTCCACTGGCCGTCGCTCATGGGCAACAATGTTTGCTGACTTGCATGCCCTCATACTGTATGCATGCGTTTGCCTGTCATAGTTTGTCACGTTGCTGCCGTTCTCTCCGAACTCTCGGATTTACACACGGCAAGTCCATCACGCAAACATTCCGAAGGCAGCTTTGCTGTGACGGGAAACGTCATGCGAACGCTACGGCCGAGCTGCCACAAGCAGTGCATTACTGGACTTGGGCGGCGGTGCAAGGCGGTCTCGCAGCAACACGGCCGGACAGCAATGCTTGAGCAATGCTTTCAGCAATGCTTCATGTCTCGAGCTGGTTTTGGATTTTAGCCCATCAGCAGACCAGCGCTGGTCTCAACGACGTGACCTGCGTCCAACATGATTCGCGGAGACAGGACAAATTCGGAGCGAAGGCTGAAGCCGGGTTCCTATGGAAGGGAGGGGGGGGGGAGCGAAACTCCAACCAAACTCCAACATCGGTATTCGCAGTGCAACCTCAGAATTTGTTTTCAAGTGTTTGAAGTTCACTGGGGCCATAGGGCGGGGTTGGGTCACTGGTGGTGCACGTTCTGCTGTGGGACTCTGTGCAAGGGGGGGAGGGGCCATAGGGCGGGGTTGGGTGGGTGAGGGGGTGGGGGGTGGGGGAGAATGTAGCAGAAGCTGCAAGAGTCGCGGCATCCTTCTGCAAGGCAACAGTGAGCAGAGGATTGCTGCATATGAAAGGTTCAGGTTGACCTTGCAACCAGAATCATCAGGATCACAATGATTCTTGAGCTGCATGTGCATACTTTGTCTCCTACTCACGTGTGCCCATGGTGATTCGAGATTCTAAGATCCTAAATCGAGCACGGCAAAAGAATGCAGTAAGAAGTTCTCGAAAGGGTTCCTCCCAAACTCAGAAGCAGAATGGCGTGTGGACCGTCCATTCGAGCACATATGTCGAACATGGCTCTACGGGTGATGCTGTCTCGAAGGCCGCATGCCCAGCTACTGCAGCAGACGGACTAAAACCTTGCGTTGCGCGACTTGTGAATCTTGTCAAACGGAAACTCAATACTCTCGCGGAACGGCATCACATTCCAAGGTCGGCACTGCCAGCATGCCACGATGAAGCATGCCAAGCGGATCTCCCGCCTTCAAAACGAGTGAACCCGCCACCGCCACTACGTACTCAGTGAGTCGAAACGACATGCTACACCTACACCATAGGCTGAGAACATCATACACGACATGATGGCATCGCGGTCCTTCAGGCAGCTCTGCTGGAAAAACTAGCGGTCCTGGTCATGCTCTTTCAGTTGACACAAAGTACCGGGAGGGCAACAAGTCTATCAGAGTCTATCAGGATGATGCATAAAGGCATAGAGGCTGGTGCCAGTAAGATGGGCCTTGGACTGTAAGCACAGCAGGCCGCCGGCGCCGAGCTGGTAGTGTCCAACGATTGTGTGGCTGAACGAACCTCATGGGACTCAGGGGCTGTTAAGGGGTAAGGAAGAGGACTGGAACTGAGCCAGGCAATTTCGAAGATGTTCATCCACTCTTTCTGCGTAGTTGGATGAACCACAGAGGCTTAGCTTGCCAACCTGAATGTTGCATTTGGGTTCCGATGAGCCCCTCTAGGGCCGGTCGGCCTCGAATATGCCACTATGAGACAGCTCTTGCGGCTCGTGTGGCGAAACGTCACTCGCTTCTTCGGAGAATTTGCAAACGCCTTGATTGTGGCTTCGAGCTTCCTTGGACGGTCTGCGGCATCGAATCGAGCTCAGGCACTGACAATGTCCAGGATGTTTGCCAGTAGAGGCCATGCGTGGCAGTTGCACTCTTTCTATCTGTTTCAGCGACTTCCCGTGAACGCTGTCATATCTAAGCCGATGTGCTGTGTGCGTTGTTTGCGCTTTAGCGGAGCGGTTTGAGGACATTTCAGCTGCATCTAATGCATACTTCTCCGCATACGTATGCTGTCCCTTTGATTGGTGAACTCTTTTGGGGGGAATGGGCTGGCTCTCCAAAGTGCTGGGAATGCACTTCTCGATTGGGATGTCGGGCAGCATGCTTGCTTGGTGCCATGCTGCCCCGTTTGAGCATTCGTCTTTCCTTCGGTCCATTTCGGTCCAGAAATTCCTTCTCCTCTCCTCTTGTCCATCTCGTCTCATGATGATTGCTACAGCGCATACAGCGCTTGACGTGCATTGCTAACTACTTCCGCGGTTGTTTGATGTATCGTGAGCTTGGCGTGACGACTTCCCGACTGCATTTCTGAAACAAAGGAGTACTGCGTCTCTGAAACAAACAATTAACTCAATAAGATGAGAGGTCGTGTCCTGCATGTTGCACTTTAGAACTTTAGAAGTTCGACATCCACATGGCCGCAGCACAAGCTCAAGGCCCAGACATGTCGGGGTTCGCGAAGGGATTCCGCGGGGAAGACATTGCAGAGCCGTCCTGTGTTTCTTGGACCTTACTGCTCAGATGCTGGGTTCTGTGCCCCGGATGCAGCTCGCAGACTCTCCTATACTCTCTGTGTGGTCATTAAAAATAGCCACGGAACAGCACTGGCAAGGCTTCCGGGATACCCAGGGGTACTGGGCATCGAGGCCTTGCAGTCCATGTCATGACATCTCTTCCCCGCAAAGAGCTTCAACATTCGACGTCGCCTGGTATCCCATGGCAAACTCGGATAGATCTGGAGCTGAAACCTGAAAGGAGCCACAGAGCTGGAGGTTGCACAGAACATTGGACCATTATGACAGCCGAAGTCTGCTCTCGCTCAAGCTGCTAGAAGTCTTTTGCGGGCGTCTGGTATGTCATAGGAATTCAAGCAGGCAGATCGTAGGTCAGAAGCAACTTTGCCCTACTCGACGGATCGGCAAACTGAGCCGGGCACTGGCACGGAGCTCCAGCCCCAGCGCTCATCCGTTCTCGGAGTGACAGTGCCGAAAGAACCTGAAGTCACACAAAACGTGGCCCAGAGGCCTCCTGTTGAATCCATGCATGCCCGGGCTTGGCTTCAAACGCGATTTGAGGCCAGGTGTAGGTGCTGTGCAGACTCCCGGGGCCTGCCACATGCAGGTCTGCCTAGATGTGACACAATGCAATCACTGACTGCCAAAAGGCCCCGACGTTACTGAAGTCAACGTTGTGCCCATTGTGCCCGCGAGGCGAGCCGGTGGACAGGATCCCAAAATTGGGTCTGGTCTTTGGCCCACCCATCCTCTCAGGACTCTCAGGACTCTCAGGACTCTCAGGACTCTCAGGACTCTCAGGACTCTCAGGACTCTCAGGACCCAGCGATTGCGTCGCGTGTAGAATACTCATGATCTTTTCAATAGCTGCCCCAAACGCTTCAAGTAGTAGGCAAGCACATCTCAATAATTAGCCCCAAAAGCTTCAAGTAGTAGATAAGTAGCAGGAAAGTATTAGAAAAGTAGTAGGTACGTAGTAGTTAAGTAGTAGTGACAAGTAGCAGGCAGGTAGTAGGTAAGCGGTACTTAGTCGTAGTAGTCGTAGTAGTCGTAGTAGTCGTAGTAGTGGTAGTAGTGGTAGTAGTCGTAGTAGTCGTGGTAGTCGTAGTAGTCGTAGTAGTCGCAGTAGTCGTAGTAGTCGTAGTAGTCGTAGTAGGCGTAGTAGTCGTAGTAGTCGTAGTAGTCGTAGTAGTCGTAGTAGTCGTAGTCGTAGTAGTCGTAGTAGTCGTAGTAGTAGTCGTAATAGTCGTCGTCGTAGTAGTAGTAGCAGCAGCAGTAGTAGCAGTAGCAGCAGCAGCAGTAGTAGTGGTCGTCGTCGTCGTAGTAGTAGTAGTAGCAGTAGTAGTAGTAGTAGTAGTAGTAGCAGCAGCAGTAGTAGCAGTAGTAGTAGTAGTCGTCGTCGTAGCAGCAGCAGCAATCGTCGTTGTCGTAGTAGTAGCAGTAGCAGTAGCAGTAGCAGTAGCAGTAGCAGTAGCAGTAGCAGTAGTAGTAGTAGTAGTAGTAGTAGTAGTAGTAGTAGTAGTAGTAGTAGTAGTAGTAGTAGTAGTAGTAGTAGTAGTAGTAGTAGCAGTAGTAGTAGTTGCAGTAGTAGTAGTAGTAGTAGTAGTAGTAGTAGTAGTAGTAGTAGTAGTAGTAGTAGTAGTAGTAGTAGTAGTAGTAGTAGCAGTAGTAGTAGTAGAAGTAGTAGCAGCAGTAGCAGGAGTAGCAGTAGCAGTAACACGTAATTTAATTGCTTGAAAGGAGCTGGTGGTCCCAAGCAAGACCGGGAGACGCCGACTCGACCTGCATCTTTCAACAGGAAGAAGAGGTGCCCAAGGAGCAAACTGCAACAAATGCAAACATGATCTGAATTGAACCCTTTGCTAGGAGTTGCTGATGACACGATGCCTCTGCGAAGAAGGCTGGCGAGCCACTGCCAAAGTCTGCAGTCAAGTGGCCTCCGACAGTGAAGTCCCAGGCCAATGCGAGATACCCTATCATCGCTTAGCCACTAACTGCAGCCATTTGCAGGAGCAAGTAGTCGTCTCTAAATACTGTTGTAGCTGCCTGCGGATGACGAGAAACTCGTCGACGCATCGGCAAACCTCAGTCCACAACCCTCCTACTCGGGAACTCGAACATGCTGGCCGCTTCGAGCGAGTTTGTCGAATCCGTGGCTTTCCTGTACCACGAGCTGCTGCCAAGTTTCGCGTCCATGGATTGAATGCCCTTCTCCGAGCCGTCGAACTGTTCATGCATTCTATCCCGCAGTAACCAGCTCTATCCTACAGCCGCACCCGAATCAAACATTTGTTCTTCTGGCACGCAGAGCGAAACCACGACAAAACCTCACACTACCGACCCTGCACAAACACCTTGCCGGACCTCACCGGACTGAGTATATGGTTCATTCATGTGGAATGCCGGAGGGGAGCATTGCATCAAGAACCTAAACACACCTAAACCTTCATCAAACCTGCGTCGGCAAAGATGGCCTCCGTCCGCTGACCAAGGGAACGGCTGCGATGCTTGGGCCCCGGTGAGTCACCTGGAAACACTCATTGTCAGATGCGCGGGCTTTGAAGCACCGTGTCATTGAAACGTTTTTGCGTGGATGGTCAACAAAGTTCAAGGCGGCTACAAAGTGGCACACGCTCTGCTGAGGGAGAGGGATGCAAGGAAACAGAAGCTTTTGCGTGTTTACTTGCTGATTTGAGCTGATGCTCGGCTAAACCTTCCCCAGGGCATCCCCAGGCCAACATGGCATCGCATGTTTGAAAAAAAGATCGCAAATAGCTACCGAAACTACCTCGAAAATTGCGGTGACGGTAAGACACAGTGCGTGGGCCGGTACCGTCGAACTCTCATCTCCTGCACTGGAACTGTGTGGGGCGCGCCAGGCCTGTCGGAGATGGTACTGCCATTGCCGCTCTTAGCCTTCGGATCAGATTGTCTTGCCGTTGCTGCTGGCGTGCGTCATTTGCAAAGGGGCGTGGTGCTCCCAACTTCTTTGTCTGAGCAGAAAGCCTCATCTTCGAAGAGTCGATGTTGTCGTCGCTGCGGGCTGGTGCAGGGCCAAGTAATTAGGTGTAGTTAGTCTGATTCAGCCCTACTCCAGTCTCATACCAAAGGCAGCGTGCCTTTGCGTGGTGGCGGGGGGTGTCCGGACTGAGCCTTTGTTTCCGAGCCTTCCCGTCCTTAGCATCCAAAAGCTGAGCACATCCTCCTGGGCACATAGGCAGCGGGCAGCTGAGAGCAAGTCCGCCGCTCTTCGTCGATTCATTTCCTGCAGGAGTGCTGGCCTGGCTCTGGCTCTGGGCGAGGAGGTTGTCCATCCTGAGCTTCGGGTTTAGGAGTCATGGTGCACCCTTGGTTTGGTGCAGAGGTGCAGCCAGGGCTCTTTAGGACAAGTCTCTCTGCGTCCTTCAAGAGCTTCAAACCAGAACTAGCACAACACCAGAATCGAAGCTCATAGTGGTAGCGATCTGACAAAGCATACCAAGTCCTGGTGCAGGCTGGAGGTCTCTCTGCCATGATTCCTTACAAGCACCCGGCGTTCGATTCAGCCTTGCTTTCGCTGGCGACTGCCAGCAAGACAGTTCCCACTCGCCAGGCCTTGGCGATGTGCTGGGTCGAGATTCCGGACTACCTGTCCCATCATACCATGCCCAGGATCATAGTCGTTCACAAGAAAACACATTGCACGGCAGCCTTGCGCCCTCAACGGCATTGAAGAGTCCGCCCACGGATCGAGCCTTGAAGACTGTTCAGTCAACTCGATCTGGGGTGGTGAGCTTTATATAGGCGTCCTAGCCAGAATTCGACATTGCCTTGCCTGGCATCCAGGGCGAAGCTGTCAGGCCGGTGCAGCCGCTTCTCATGCATCTCCCTCATGATCTGCAGCCGCGCCTGACACGGTCATTGCATTGGCATGGACCCATGACATGCAGTGAGCTGTGTACCAAGTACCAACCCTCTTCACGGCCTCGAATTGTCCCATGGTCCAGATTGACAGGAGCTCAGCCTCCTGGCTGAAATGTGCTGCATGCATCTAAACGCACTGAATTCCAATCTACGAATCTGCGTCTGATTCTTCTGGGCTTCTTCTGTTGGCGGCCCGGCCTGCTTCTCTGTCTGCCTGACCAAGCGGACACAAAGATCAGGAACGGCCGAGTTGTCCTCAGCTCGAGAATTTACTGAGCTGTTGAAGAGCACAGGGAACGGATGGAAAACAGGCACAGGTCACAGGGAGGTCACGATGCTCCCGAGGGTCTCCATATCCGTACATCATCACTGGGGCCATGGAGGAGAGCTCCAGATTGAGGTTTGACAAGGGCTTGAGGGTGTCAGTCAATGCGTTGGCCTTGCACACAGCATGATTCGTTATTTCAACATCGCACAACGGGGTGGCTCTTGTGACTAGGTCAACAGCAAGTTCATCAACCGTTGGGAGGGGTGGGCTAGGACTAGGAGTTTATAAGGTATTATGTTGCTCTTGCACAGAAAATATGGATGTGGAGAAGGCGCGTGGCCTCGACAACGAGTGCTGCAGCGCGCTTTGCCGAGATGAGGAACTTGTCCAAACGTTGGAAGCTTCGGCTATCCAGGTTCTGGCCCTGCAAGCAAGACATGTACTGCAAGGCCACCTCCAAGTGGCCTTTCTGGTGCTCGGGGAGGATTTGCTGCATGATCCGCGCGCGATCCTGAGAGCCAAGACCCCACCAGGTGGGTAACTTCTCATGCAGATTTCCTGGATTTCCTGGCGGGGTAGCACCGCTGTTCACGAGGAAGCATAGTGAGCTGCCGAGCACGAGAAGATCGCCATGTCGCAGCTCTCTCGGCTCCTCCCTCGCCAGCTTCACATGGTTTATCTCCACAGTGGTTACGGGTGTCGAGTCAGCACATACCGGACGAATAAAGAGCCCTCCCTCATCCAGCCATACAGAGCAACACCTTTGAGCGATTCCGGCTCTGCGTGGCAGGATGAAATGACAGTCCGATGCATAGCCCATGCAGTACTCGAAGCCTGTTTCCGGCAAGGCAAAGATGAAGCGACCATTCGCATGAGGATCGTCAGAATAGCTTGCCAGGTAGGGACACTCCGGCAGCTCGGGGCTCCGCGGGCTCTTGCTTGACTGCCGTGATTTTGGCTCACCATCTTTTGGAGATCTTGGAGACCTCACTGCCATGCGGAAGCGAGCTACCCCCAGCTTGCGCAAGGCGTTGTTTCGCTGCTCTCGCAGCTTCTCGTTCTCTTCAATCTTCTCTTGCCAAGATTCACGGTACTTCTGAAGCATTCCGTTTGCAACCTCCAGCTCACTCTTGAGCTCCTCCAAAGCAGTTGCGCCGTCAGACGACAAGCGGTCACGAAGCGCCTGGACCTCTGTCTGCAGGCCGCTGATCAGCGCATCCTTGTCAACGAAGGTTGCAGCCCGAGCCTCAACCTTCACGTGCTTCAGGCTGGTTGCAAAGTTGAGGGTAGTCAGACTTTCATCCACACTCTGCTTGGCTGGGCTCAGCGTGCAAATGACGGAAGTCTTGGAGTTGCCACTCAGCGCGTTGGCAAGAAGCAACGTCAACTTTGAGTTGCGGAATCGCGCCATGGTAACGTCAACACCCTTGGCGTTGGCTGCCTTCCTGTGATGTGGCGTGGCGTCAGAATCTTCAGAGATGGTGCTGCCACGCTCACGACTTGCATCCGTGGGACGCCTGTCTCCCTTCACCTTCTTGTCAAGAAGGCTTTGTCGACGCCCAGTAATAGCATTGCCATTCACCTTCTCCTTCACACTCGGCTGACTAGGCTGGTCGAGCTCACCTACTGAGTGTCGTCGCCTGGAGGGCTCGGGGCTACCCAGTGCATGGATGCACTGAGAAAGCCACATCAGGCTTCGATTGATGAAGCTCAACTCAACGAGGCGATCCCCCTTTACTTTGGTTGTGCGTTCATTCTCTCTGCCTGCGAGATCTACGAAGTAGACCTCCGAGGTCATCACGGTGTTGTCGCTGCCACCATGCTTTTCCAAACTCAGCTTGTAGACTGTATGCCCACGCGATGATTGCGCGTTCATGGCAGTTGCTGCGAAGCTTTGCCGCCCTCTCGCCTCGTCAATAAGCGCGAGGCATGATTCCAGTGAGTTGGCCGGGAGATCCAACGCATGTTTCAGATACACCCCGAGCTTCGGATGCACGTGAACTTCAGGATTGGGAGAGCTGCTTTCGTTGAGAAGGTCTCTAACCTTTTCGTTATAAACCTCCACAATCTGCACGCGGCACTGAATCTCGCATCCTTGCCTTTCAAGCAGCGTGTCCACTTGCTGGTACATATCAGACATGAAACGTAACAACAGGCCTTGCTCGGATTTTGGCTTTGCGTTGCCCATGATAGTGAAGGTTTTGCCAGTACCGGTTTGACCATAGCAAAACAAGCAGGTGCTGTATCCATTGAAAGCATGCTCAATCATCTTTCCAGCCATGAGCTGATAACACTTCTCCTGGCCGACAAACGACTTGGCCTTGGGGTCGGTGCTATCCATGACATAATCGAATGCAAACTCCTTCGGAGCAGCTTTGCCTGCCAAAGAGAGCTGAGATTACAGCAAGCACGATCTCAGGATGCTGAGCAAGAATTCTCTTTCTACTTGCATTAAGGCACAGCCGTGATGCGTGAAGTGCTGTTTTGGACTTTACGGCGACGACACGACACAACGATCTTTGCGAGGCGTGTCATCTTAGGATCTTCCAGGGGCCCATGCCCTATGGCCCTATGCGATCAACTCCTTCGCTGCATGGCCACGAGAGGCATCGGTAGACTTGCGCGGAGGAGAAAAAAAAACAAAGTTGCGCTTTTTCTGTCACAGGTCACTTGCTTTACACGTTCGGTGGAGCACTGCATACAGCAACCCACGAAGTGTCAATCCGGCACCCGTGAACTCTTTATCTATGCTGGCTTAAAGCTGTAGCGGGAGAGGCTGTGCTCTAACATTGGCTTGATGGACTCAGCGAGACTTCAAGAAATGTTGCAACACATTTAAGGTTTAGTGTTTAGTTTGCTTAATATTTAGGGCTTACGGTTCATGAGGTTTTGGGGTTTAACATTCAGGGCAGCAAGAAGAACATGACACATGACGCCTCCGCCCCCATCCGCGTCGACGATGACGGCATTTTCACCTTACAACCGCGGCGAAATGTTGTTGTTCTCTCGCGACTTGCTGCCTTTCTGAGAGTGATCCAAAACGAACTACCGCAAGACCAGTATGTAAGCACAGTGCTTGCACCTCCAGCCGGTGCTTCAGAAGCTAAGCTGCTGACGAACCTTGAGGCAAGGGTGGGCAGCTTGTGCAGCCTCATGTGCAACGAGAGGCCGCAATCGCACGCCGATTCGAACGGCTTCAGCGCTCATCTCCAGGGACCATTGCGTCTGGAGTCGCGTCGCCTAAACGACTATTTACAGACTCCATCACTGAAGTGCTCGCCGTCTGTTCTTTCCGGGCTCCTCATGAGCTCTCATGCGGTCTGATGCAGCAGATGTCAGGAGACATACTCACTCCTTGAGCCACTGCTTTGTCAAATGAGAGGGCTCGAAAGCAGTAGAAGCTGAATGGCTCTGTGCTTACAATTCGGAGCCTGCCTAACTGTGAGGTTCTGTGGGCACTTCCAAAGAATAACAGCCAGAGCTGTCAATACCCCTAAACAAAATACAATCTTCCCGAATGCCTTTGTCCAATCGTGAACAATGAGGGGTGCTAGAATTTAGCCCTCGAATGAACAATATCTCCTCTTAACTCCTACTTGCTGATACATAGTACCGACCAGTACATACCAAAAGTTGCCCCGAATGTACCGCTACGGGTCTCCTACAAAGGTCCTTCCTTTGAACACTTTTCACGTTTTCTGAGGATCGTCATTCTGAAATTCTCAGTTCCCAACACCCCCTGACGGGACACATCTCAGAAACCCTGATTCAGTGCAGCACCCGTTTCCGCATCAGTGCAACCTTCTTCACGCAGCAAAGGCTTCGCTACAGCCCTGCCGTGCTACTCTGGGTTGCGAGGTTCTGTCAACTGGCCGAGCAGCTTCTCCGCTTCACATCGGAGGTGTGGGACCAGCTCAGTCTGAGAGTGATGGCGCAGAGTTTGGATAAGTCCTTCGTTAGCCGGGAGCCAGTGCAGCAGATCTAAAGCAGCCTGCCGGGCATGCACCGATGGATCTTGCAGGAGCTGCGAGACTGGGAAGACGGCGTGCTCCAAGGCATCTTGAAGATCCTCAGGATGTGGCAGTTGCGAGTCCACCACACCATCCCGCTTCAGTTCTTCAGACAGGGCTGTGACGAACTGAAGTAAGTTTCCAAAACCTCTTGCAGCAGCCCGTCGCACTGTCCAGTCTGCATCCTGCAAGCGATCTGACAGGAGCTCCAGCGCCCTGGAGGTCGTCTCTTTGTCGCCGCCTTGTGCCAGCCAGGCCACAGCATCCACAGCCGCACAGCGCACGGGCCACGCACGGTCCGTGAGCAATGCTGCCGCTTGCTCCAGGGCCGTCCGATCCCCGCAAGGTGCCACATGGGCCAGGGTGCGCAAAGCCACCCTCCGAACGTCCACCGAGGCATCCTGCCAACTTCTGCTTTCACTGAATTTCACTGCAAGCTTACGTTGCGCAAGTGGCTGCGAGTCCAGCACCGAGAGGGAACCCTGAACCCGAAATCCTAAACCCACCCTAAACCCTAAACCTGCAGGCTCTTCACTGCCGCATCGATGGCAGCAGCGCGCGCCCCGTCACCCGGTCCGTCCTGCCGAATCTAATCTTGGTCTGTGCTCTAAAGCTGGAGGCATATTGAGGCATATCATATTCAGGCACATTGAGGCTTAATATTGATGGGGGATGTACGCGACGATATGTGGAAGCGGCAAGGACGCGCAACAGCGGGAGGTGCTCTCCTGATCTATTCTTCCACAATTGCTGGCGGCCGCCAGCGCGCTGACAGCCTGAACAACCCAAACCCCATGAAGCCGCTTGTCTCGAGTGGGGTTGGAACTGAGGACAGCCGAGATCGGGTCACATGCGAGGGGGTGAATGCTTGGTTGACGGGCGTTGGATGACAACCAGGAGGGGATGGGAGACACCGGGATGGAGGGGAGCGAGATCGGCGAACGCTTGGTCGATCCGAGTCGATCTTGGTCGGCAGGTGGGGATCACAACCGGGAGGGTAGCGAGATCGGGTGGATGCTTGGTCGACAGGCGGAGGATCACCACATTCACCACCGGGCGGGGGGGGGGGGGGGGGGGGGTACCACCTCTACTCTTGACTTTCAACTCCCAAAAAGTCACAATGCGTAGAGACCCCAGCATAATCGTGCCTTGATACGAGAAACCAGTGAGAACTACACTTTTTGTGCCGGGAGGCAGCAGCCCGCACTTGGGCATCTTCGCTGGCTAGCCGGTGGGAGCAGCCAGTGAATAGAGCGGGGCCAGCCTCACGCTTTGACGTGCGTGCGTACCCGACGTCGGTTTCACCGAGGATATGCTGATCTGCTTTAAACCTCAAACCTATGGCCATGTATGGCCAGGCAAGACAAGAACCCTCCAACAGTCTGATAAATCACGCACCTGCAAGGACTGTCGTTTTGGCGGCCGAATAAGACATGCGATGCAACGGAGGGATTGGAAGTCTGCAATTGCCGCCTTGTCTCGCCAAGCTTGGTTGCACAAGCGCAGCGCAAGCAGTTGCCTGACGGGGTCTTCTCTCTGTCAAAAGCGCGGTGAGCTTGTGCCAAGTTCTGGCATGGAAGCTACGAGCAACAGCATTCAGAAGCAATCTCGGGGCGGCCACACTCATTTTCAGGCAAACCGTTTCTCGAAAACCGTGTGCGCAGGTTTGCTAGTCATCGGCAGTGGTGTGCATGAACGCTGCTCTTCGGCCAACCACTCCTCGGCAAAACAATGCGGCACCACGACAAATGAAACCCACTGCGGAGCCATCGCATCCAGGCCACCTTCTTCATGATCCAATATACCACGCTCCACGGCAAATAGAACTGGCCGTAAACAATGATCTCCTGACATCAACAGACACCAGTCAGCAGGAATATGTGATGTGGAGCACACAAGTCTGCAAGCCTCGCCAGTTGCTTCTGGCAGCCCGGCTTTCTCCAGCAGCGAGACGAGAATCAGACAAAGAAAAGAGCAGACCATGACCTTTCACTAACTTCAGAACGCATAGTTTGCGTGTGCAGCGAAGATCGGCACCATTGACCCGCTCTGAGTGCAGTGCGAGAAACAGGTACACCTGGGCTCACAACACTCCTGCTCGAGTGTGGGAAGGCTTGGAGGCCGAGTTGCTGGAAGAACCAAGCCAACCGCCGCCCGAAGCTCACCAGCGAAGGCCACGAGGCCATAGGCCTTCCTCGGGACGCAGCATGACACGGGCCAGACGGAAGGCTTTGCAAGCTCCAAAAGCTGCCTCCAGAGACTGTAGCTTAATTTTCAAATTACTACCTTGCAATGTCTGTCCGCTTTGAGGAATCATGGTGTGAACTTGCTTCCGGCCTTCAACATCCCTGGCTTGCGGGGCGGCGCGCTTACAGACAGTCTTTGCTCCAAAGCAATGAACAGCAGCCGGCACCTCTTTGCAAAGGAGCTGCGGTCTGAAGCGGCGCAGATCAGCGAAGGCAAGGGCTGCAAACCCTGTCAGACTAATTGTGGGAACCGTTTGTCAAGAAGCTTTGGGCCAGCGGGTGGCAGTGGGGGGCGGGGGGGGATGGCGGATGGCGAAGCAGGACCGGTTGAAACATGCGGACCCGCTGGCGGACCTGTGAGAACGGCTGCTGCACGCAACAGGCCATGCAGAGCCGGTGTCAGCAGTGGATCGGCTGCCTGCGGAGCCCCGGAGCGCATCAGCTTACATCTCACACCATCGAGTGCAGCATCCCAGCACCTCCTGAATCTCCTGAACCTGCACGTCGCTTGAGTTGCCTGCATTCGGGCCGACACATCGCGCATCACTGCTCGCATCGAATGAAACTCTGCTCTGTCTCACAAGTAAGGTCCCCATTGTAGGTACTGCAGCATCCTGTACTCGTTTACCCTGCTGTATCTTCCAAAGTAGGCGCCTGCTGCAAACGGCATGTCCGGCTTCTTCGGTACGCTGGAATCCCAAAGGATCCACAGAGAACTGTACAGAGAATGCACCCGTGGCGACAGCAGCACCTGGTCAGTTCATGAATGCCACATGTAAGATTCCAAGCAGTGCCATCCTCTCATTCTAAGCTGTCGACATTGATTAAAAGAAAGGCCAGCAAAAGCAGCTGCAGCTCCTTCCACCGGCGCCTCGATCAGCAGAAAAGTGCTTGCACAACGTTGCAGAACATTGCACAGTTTCGCAGAACACTACGAAAACCGCAAGGGGCAACCCTTGTTGTTTGTTGTGTCTTTCTTGGAATACATCGATGAGTCGACGCGAGTCCATGCGCCAGCATGCTGCCGCTTGGCAGACTACGCGTTAACAATTGGGCCGAAAAGGTTTGGCCAGGTGCTTCGCACCAAACGTTAGCAAATCTGCCGTCGATTCCTTTGCGCGGCAGAGCGAATAAATCCTAAGAGCGCTACTGCCTACATCCACCTCGCATGCTCATGCTCGGATATGTTCACATCGTTTCGACGAACTTCTGCGCAGCCCGCGAGGCGGCAGCACCGGTCGCCTGCACCAGAGCTGACAACCTTGCACAGGATTCAAGTGCACACTGGTGCCATGGATGAAGGATGCATCTGGGATGCTTAATGCTTTTTGTTTCGGACAACACGGTGGAAGCTCAACACGGCCGGACATGGCTCTTCAGCGCTGGCCTCGTCTGAGCCTTGTCGAAGACTTCTTGACCCGGCGCGGCCTCTTGCAACCAGTGCTGCACGGAGTGCACCTTTGCAGCTTTCGGCAGAACGCAGGTGCTGCTCTTGCTCGGTTGCTTTCATCCCCTAAAAAACAGGCTCTTCAGCCTTCTCCTTGGAAGCCTCCTTGGCAGCTGTCGATGCACGGCTTGCCGTGTCTTTGACAACCTCAGTCCCAGCTTTTCAGGCAATCGAAACACTTGGTTGAATATGCGTGCAGGACAGGACGCGCACGCGCACGCGCACAGGGGCACATTTTGCATTCAAGTGGCGGGCATGAGATCTTGAGCCTTCGAGGCAGCTCCCTGAGCCCAGCCCGCAATCCTCAGTCACCAAGTGATCGAGTGCTCCACTCGGTGGACTGCACTTTGTGGACTAGAGTTGAGTCCAGGGCTGTTCCACAACTTGAGCCACAGAGCGAGCCGGAAAGGGCGGAGTTTGCCTGAAGTGGGGCTTGCTTGCATACTCTGCAATGAAACGCGCTTCTTCCATGCTTGGGGCTTACCCCTTCCATGTGCAAGTTGCGCAGACAGGCTTTGCACTGAGTCTGCACTCTCTCTTCTTCTTCTTCTCTCTCTCTCTCTCTCTCTCTCTCTCTCTCTCTCTCTCTTTCTGTCTCTCCCTCTCTCTCTCTCTCTCTCTCTCTCTCTCTCCCCCACGCATGACCCCCCCGAAGGGAGGCCGCCCCCAAGGGCGCGTGCTGGTCTCGGGTCAGTTGGTGAGGGCATCCGTCTCGTGTTGAGAGGGCGCCCGGCTCGTTGGCCAAAAACCACAGGAGGCAGGGGTTCAGTAAGACACTGCTACTGTTCAATTTCCCCCCTCTGTTCCTCCTGGTTTTTCGATGGGTTCGGGGTTCAGACAACACACAACCAACGCCTCGAAGCCACACATCGGGGTATCCCTAACCCAACAGTATGTCCAACCTTGTCTTCCCCCTCTCTGTGCTCCCATCGTTCCTGCTACTAATCACTGCTGGCTCCCTCATGTGTTCTCCGCCGTCTGCTCCCTCTCTCTTCCTTCCTTCCATCGCAACAGGCCCCCCGAAAGGAGCCGCCCCAAGGGGCATGCGTTACCGAGTCGGTTGGTGTGAAATGTGTGTACACATCTTGGATGGAACCACTCAACACAACCAGATAGATAAGAATTCCCCCTGGGTGTGAAGATGTGTAGACATTGCCTCTTTGGGCTTGGGGTTGGGCAAAAACGTGCACTGTTACGTGTGGATCGAGATGGCTGATCCCGCCCGTTAATTGTGACCCTTCCCCAACTACTCCTTCCCCACAGTTTGGTGGTTTAGGAAACGGAAGCGACTCCCTCCCCACAGAGTTGGTGGATCGGGTGCTTCGGGCTGGCTCTTTCAGAGCGGGTAACTATAAACAACTCCCCTCTCTCTCTCTTCCTTCCTTCCTTCCAGGCGTAAGGTTCCCCCCGAAAGGAGAACCGCCCCGAGGGGCACGCAGTACAGAGTTCGTTCATCGGTGTGAAATGATGTGACCCCCCCTGTGTGTTGCAGTGGGGGTACGAAAACAGGGTGGAACTCGATCAGCCATGATATGGGAAACATAAGCAACCAAGACTGCGATATACAAAGTGCGGTTCCCCCAGAACGAAGTGCCCAGCAAAAACGTGCTTTCCCAGATGCCTCTGTTGGGTGGACCTGGGTCTACAGATATGTATCGTGGAGTGGAGTGAAACCGCCCTGAATTGGAGCCGTGGCACTTGATATCACGAAATGTGAAATGTGAGATTCCCCCCACTACGGTTTCGGCAGTGGCTAGGGAAAACGGAGCGCCTATTTTGAAGTTAGAATACTGGTCCAGCAGGATGGCTTGGACAAAAGCGGGTTGAAAGAGTGCCTATTCAATGTCCCCCTCCCCAACAACCGAAGAACCCCCACAATCACCTACCAACACCCGGGACCCACGAGGGGAGGAAGGACAGGTTGGAATCGTTCCCTCTTATACTTAAAGAAACTGTTATGACCCTCATTTTGCTTCTCACGGCTGCGAAGGTTCAGTTGAAGTGGAAGTGAAAGCAAGGAGGTAGTCGATGGTGAAGGTTGTGTTGCTTCTCGTGGCTGCGAAGGTTCCGTGGTTGAAGTGGAGGTGATATCGTGGTGGCAGTCGATGATGAAGGGCTGTGTTCATCTGCGCTTTGGTGGGTGCTTTGGTGTCGTCGTCGCCACCCTTCGAATCTGGTTCGCGAGGTCTTCCCCTCTTGTCGGCGAGGTCGTGGGAGAGGGTGCCATGCTGGTTGGGTTTGTTGTTGCCATTGTAGCCCCCATATTCGAGCCAACTCGGTCGTGCTCCCTTTTCCTCTTCCTCTGCAGTGGCGGGCGTGCATCGTGGTCCTCTTGTTCCCAGTGGCTGCCTTCTTCTTCTTGTCCCCCATGGCTTTCCCAATGACGAGTGCCCGACGGTATTTCACATGGCGCACTCTCATGTCTCTGCTCCCACCGAGTGCCCGATGGTGTTTCACACGGTGCACTCTCATATACTGTCATCGGCTTCTTGGTTGTGCGATGTGGTGGTGGAAGAGCTCCTGCTGGGTGTTGTCGCATGTGTTGCATAGCTGAGGGTTGGTGCGATGTTCTTGTCTTGGCGCCCACTGTTGGTGGTGTAGGAGAAGTGGTAGTCGGCGATGTGGTAGTCGAAGTTGTGGCACCCCGATGTAGTTGTATATTCCTCTGTTTCCACCAGGATTTGAGGTGTGGATGTGGTACTGCAGGGCATATGGGTCCATCATCTCCCGGGTCCACTTGTACTTCTTCATATTCTTCGTCCATTGGTGGGTGGTCGTCGTGCTTCACCTTCTCCTTGTGTGCGTCTTCATCGATGTCACGGGTGG